AGTAGGTTGGTCAAGAGAATGTATCAGAACAGGCGTGTGGACGCCAGCAGCACGTCAGATACCTCATGACGCTTGGCCAACATACCTGCGATGACTGATTCTATGTAGAAAGGGGTATTGCTCTCTCTTTCTGGAAGACAGATACCGTGATAAGTAGAGATTGAGAATTGTTGTGTTATGATGTTCGAAGCAGGTTCAAAAGACGGGGAACAATGTCTTCCTGACCACTGGGGCTCTGATGCAAACAGTACGCGCGACTATAACAACAGACAAGAAGACTGGGGTCTCGAATAAAATCACAAGGTCACTGACGAACTGGTGTGCATGAGTCCTGATTGATAGACTATTTTCAGGGGTAAACAGTCGCTGGTATCCGTTTCGTCCTTTCACATCTCCATAAACATGGACGTTCGAGGCTATAAGCTGCTCATTTTACCTTATATGAAATCATGTCGAGGGGGGATTTGGTGGGCTTGGATTTAACATCGCTCTCTCTCTAACAGTTGCAAGGTGTATGTAAGGAATCGAAACCAAGCCTCAACCGATGCCTTGTTTGGATACGGATACTGGGATGTAAAACAGTTGATAGACCCAGCCCTCCTCTCTGATACACATAGATACGTGTGTCTCGGCCACAAGTTGCCTCACCAAGGATCCCACTCTGACGCCAGACCAGATCGAAAGTCGAAAGATGATCGGGAGACGATTAGGCCAGTGACAAGCTCAGTGGTTTACCTACCCGCGTGAATAGACGCAGGAGGCACCGCGAGCCTGACATCTGCCGCAGTCGGGCATCGCGCGATCACAACGCTTGCGTTGGGTGCGGCACTTGTCGCATGTCATGGAGGCAATACGAGGAGCAGCAGCCGTCTCGACGTCAGACGCGTCAAGCACAGAGGAACGCTTGCCCTTCTTTGAGCTTGCTGCAGCCCGGCGTGCGTTCTTCTTACCCTGGTGAATTAGGTGTCCATGGTGTCGTTCGTTGAACTCCTTTGCCCGTTGGCGTTCCTCCTGCTCGATACGAGCTACCTCGGCAGCGGCCTGCTCGTCTGTCATGCTCTCGCTGGAAGAAAGGGGTCAGTTGGGGCATGCCTACGAGGCTATAGCGGGACTTGCTTACTCGGGTAGGTAATCGTTGTCGGGGTCGTAAGGACCAAAATCAGGGTCATGACTTGGGTTGTTGGCGTATAGATCGTCCAGATCGTCGTTGGCGTCAAGATGATGCTCATCGTGAGTCTCTTCTGCCATTGTACCTTCTTCAGCGATAGGGCGGGCGCTTCGCAGGATAGTCAGCTCAGTATGTCTGATGAAAACAAGCAGGGATGGCTACCGGTAGGAACCACTGGCCTTGTGAACTAGGCGGATTCTCATCTTGCTTTGTTTCAAGTCTAAAGACTTCAGTAAGCAAAGATCAGTCGTCAATAATCTGCGTGCGTTGGGCTGACCTCTCTGCTTGTGGTGTTGACAAAGGATTGGAAAATTGCAGAAGCCGAAAAGGGAAAGCGCAAACAAAGAAGCGTTCATGTACGGACGGCTCGTGGCAGGTCTTGGCCGCGCAGCGACGACGAGGTCGCAGAGCGCTGCGGTTCTCACTTGACATATCCCAGACACAAGTCATGGTCATTCAAGTGTTTACTGTACAGTTTCAGCAAATTCAACTAAACGTCGAGACATGGATCTGACACATTCAGGGGTTATTCATCAATTTTCTAATGAACATGTCCTTCCATAGAGCGCGAAAGTCCTCGAGTATCAGGGTCGAGGCAGTAAAGGCTACCTGATCAATGCCCTGCAGTAATCGCGGGAGGCCTTCAAGGTAGACATGCCGTTAGGGACTTGCAATCAGACATCTGCAAATAACCATTCCTGATAGCCTAGTTTGTTCTCCCATATAGCAACAAGCAACGATCAGGTTTACTTAGGCTGAGCACCCGGATCGGCGGCCCGTGGGCGTCAACAAATCACCAGCCGCATTCTTAACGATGCCACCCTGACCTGCCCTCTGTAGGCGACGGTCTTGCTCCACGGCTACAACACGATCTGCTTTTTCTAGCTTGGGGTAGGGGATCCGAGTAAGCCGCACCATGCTTCTGTCTGCTGAATCTAACGAGGCCTGCGTACCTACTGTATCTCCCGCAGTAACCAGGACTTTGGCAAAACCAGATCTCTATGCCATCGATGATGGAAGGGTGTATACGTCCACTCTTAACGCCAATCGCGCCGGAGCCAGCAATGTGGTAGTTGGAGCAGGTGCTGGTGGCTTGAGGGGCGAGTTTGGTTTGAGAAGCAGTGAGAAGAGCTGTGGGAGCACCGGAGTCGGGGATGCTATCAAGGGCGTACGAAATGGTTGCGGTACGGGTAGGGGACAGGCTCGGATGAGCCATGCGATCGAAAGGTTGCTGGGTAATGGTGGGCTTGTACTACAGGGTACCAGTAGAAAGACAAGAGCAAGCAGTTAGTCGAACATCATCCGGGCATAAACGTCTCGCCTCACATGATCCTGGGGGTATTCATCTTGATTTGGCAAGAATCGTAGTGGCCCCCTCCATTTGGGTCTTTGTACGTCTCATGCTCGACCTTTCTGGAGGTGATGTGCTGCAGTGCTCTCTAGTTGGCATTCGCATCTACCACAAATTGGTGACTTATAATTTGGCCGCGTGTATGTGAACGCGAGATCCATTGTACTACCAATAGACGCCTTTTCTGAACGAGATTGAAGCCGAGAAGGTATAATATCGAAGTCTGTGAAACAGTCTGCTATAGCGAGTCCGCACATGCTGTGACTCATGACTGAGCCGCTTTCGTAACGGCACAAACAAAGAGAATGCCAATATGCTTTGCTCTATTTGAATCAAACAGAAATAAATATCGCACACCAATACAGGGGGCTAGTTCGAACTCTTCGTTACACTCATATAGTGCTGAAAGGCTGAAATCATTGGTTAATGAAGCTGTGTTGGTTGCTATTTGCATGTATAACATCTTGCAATGATGGTAATCAATAGCCAGCCTGATCATCTTGTCATAAAGAGCATGACTTGGACCTTATGTTTCGCCTGACTCCCCGCTGTGTACAAGCTAGAATTGCAATGCCCAGGAAGTATTGATCTTCAAAGTGAGTAAGTTGACTTGCACATAGTTGTTTCAAGCCAAGCAAGCTTGTTGGTCTCGAGGACAGAGCCTTTTGTTCTCACTTCTAAGAGATGTAGTTGAGCATCTCGGACCGAGAACAACCCAATTTACATTTCGTACGATCTCAAATAGGTTTTGTAGCATGATGCTTTGGCGATGCACCATCTGAGCAATGGGGTGTTGGTTCCAGTGATGTATTTAAACTACATTGGTTTTTTGGTTCAACCCCGATTTTCCTAGGCTTTGGGGTTTGTTCAGAGGACTAAAACACTACGAGGTCAGAGTAACGAAAGTAGAGCACGTCAGCACAGTATCATTGTCTTTTGTGACATCGAAGACGACAATCATACAGTCAACAAATTAATTTGCGGTGTTATCACTGACTATGGACCAAGATTACTTGATGAAAAATATGGAGTGTCGGGACGGAAGGAAGGGTTCTGCATGAGCTTCAGTGTTCACGCCATTCTCTTCATTTTGCAAAGTTTGTATACGTGCTACACCTGCACACTTATAACAACATCCGATATGGTCTAGTGGCTAGGATTTCTCGCTCTCAAACCGTGTTCTTCGAAACACAACTAGGTCCGAGGAGGCCGGGGTTCAATTCCCCGTGTCGGAATCTTCTTTTGTGTCATTTTCAACATGTGTCTTGCAAAGAGAAAATCTTTTTTTTGCACGGTGATACAAAAGTTGGCTAGTGCTGCGGGGCTTTTTCGGTGGAGCGGAGCGGAAGCTTTCCAGTTCTTGGCTTTGGGAAATCCCACTGATGTCAGACCCTGTCTTTCCTTCCGGAAGATCTGCGGGCGGAGCAACTTGAAACATCAACCTCGAACCTACCACACTCTTCTTTGCTCCCTTTTGTGTCTTCCATCATTGCATGCGACGTCCAAGCATCCAGTTCCTTAGGAAATCGTCTGGCGACATCTGTCGAGATGCGCACCTCTGCAAGCTGTACAGATTCGGGCTTTTCGAAGGTAAGTCCAACACGACAGATGGACGGCCTGACGCGCGCAAATATCTTTCGCTGTGACGACAGAGGGAAAGGAAAGCAGTAGAGGTAGGTTTCAGGCCTCCCCCGCACGTTCTCGAGAATCTACGAACTCGATCGATCTGCCGTAAAGTGCTGGACCCGGAAGCTGGAATCTTTGCGACGACTCGGTCTTGTCAGAAAAGCCAACCACGATGGACGCTGTGACGAATGCTCTACTCGGCTGATTTGGCTCGATATGGCTGATTGCCGCGTTTGAGGAGCCATAGTCCATGGACTGTTGTTACTTCTTGGGCTTTGCTCAGGCGCCCTATCTGTGGTCATTAGCTGTTCCTCGACTACACATGTCATCAACGCATGCTAAGAGCCCTACCCGGCTGACTCAATCTCCTTTGCAAGACCTGGTTTGGGCAGAGTTCTCTATAGGACCGCCAGGTCCGGGTACGTAGGGCAGCACCGGCGCGCCAGTTGCCAGGTGGAAGAATGACTCGTATCGACAGCTGCCATGCGTGCAGCCACGTTATTCCCCAGCTTCTCTTCGGTAGCTCATTCCCCTACCACAATTTGCCTCGGGCATCCCTGTCAAGCTCGTTCCTCCTGACAACGAATCAAATTCTTCTCAATACTGAATCAACAACGCGAACACGCGATGACCGCGTTTCTGTACGCTTATAGACTGGCTTGAACGCCTCTGACGGATCGTTCTGTTTCATCTCAAGAATCTACGGCTCCACCCACACCACCACGATCCCGTACTGTCTCCCTCATTGGCATCTGCCAGGTTCCATACGTCAATCTTTGTTCACTCCGAGACTACCCGGCGAAGTCTATTCAGGGATCCTTGAGCGACCATATAAAGACAGCATAGTTGGCTGCGATGTCCAGACCTAGTCTTGTCAGATCTGGTACTTCGACGTACAGTCAAGTTGGCAGCAAAGATCCGGATGTCATCATGTCACAAAACGCATATGCTCTAAGCACGCCTTCATCTCAAAAGTCCAACAGGCAGCTGGGTTATGTCCCTGACACACCAAATGGAGCAAATGCACCCTTAATCCATACTTCTCCTTCTCAAGAGGCTGCTGGTCCATCAAGATACATCTCGCCTCCCCCAGCGATGCCGAGATCTCGACCAGGCACTTCCGCTGGCGGGCCCTCGACAGCAGTCATCCCTCGCCCCGGTACCGCACAAACTGTTCAACCAAGGGAACGCTCGATGAGCAACTCAAACACGCAATCGTACTGGGGACCACTTCCTCGTGGCTACAACGGTGAGAGTTACGACATGGGCTCCCGCCCAGCATTTTACAGCCGCCGCTCTTACAACGACTACGAGAATATGGGTGCTCAATTTGAAGACTCAGATACACAGGCTTTGGAGCCTACTTCCCGCAGCAACCCCAAACAAGCTTCCGTCGATCCATTCCCGACTGATGTGCAGAGGATCCCTATTAACTCTGAAAGCCCTTTGCATCAAGTGCGTCGTGCACCTTCAGACTCGTTCAGGAGTTTACGCTACGATACCAAGAAGCGCTCCTATCGCTTTGACAATCTCTCGGACATTGAGAGCGAAAGAAGTGCCGGGCGAGGTGCCAATGGTCCGGGCTCTTTCTACAGGAATGGACGACCTTCTACTCCGGTCGAGGAGATTCTGCGGTTACCTTTGACTTGGTGGATGAACTCCACTGCTAAGAATCGTGAGTCGCGCTGTTCACCACTTGTTGCTCATGGCTAGAGTGCACGTTGTGCTAACAGAAAGCCTCAGACTNTCGTAGCCATGATCGGCGAATTCGTCGGCACGACCATGTTTCTCTTTTTCGCCTTTGCCGGCACCCAAGTCGCCAACGTCGGAGCTTCAACCACCACTACCACGAACGCCACCAATGGATTCTCACCCCTTGTCCTGCTTTACACCTCCGTCTCTTTTGGCTTTTCCCTCATGGTAAATGTCTGGATCTTCTTCCGTATCTCTGGCGGGCTGTTCAATCCTGCCGTCACTCTTGCCATGGTTATGGTAAAGTCTCTGGATTACGTTCGAGGTAGTTTACTTTTCCTAGCACAGATCTCTGGCAGTCTGTTGGCGTCGGTGCTGGTCAGAGCACTCTTTCCCACGCCACTGAATGTCAGGACGACGTTGAGTGCAGACACCAGTAAAGTTCGCGGTGTCTTTATCGAAGCCATCCTGACTGCCGAACTCGTCTTCACCATCTTCATGCTTGCAAAGGAGAAGCATCGTGCTACTTATATGGCTCCAATCGGCATCGGCCTTTCGCTGTTCATCGCCGAGTTGGTCGGAGTCTTTNACACCGGCGGCTCTCTCAACCCAGCAAGAAGCTTTGGTCCTTGCGCCGTTACTGGAGTCTGGGACAATGAGCATTGGATATATTGGCTAGGACCCGCACTGGGCGCACTCATCGCAGTGGTGTTTTACAAGTTCATCAAGATTCTGGAGTACGAGATTGCGAACCCGGGACAAGATGCCACGAGCGAAGATGTCTCGCCGCCGCTGAGTAGGGATGGGGTGTGGAGGAAGAAAGACGAGGAGGCCTGACCCATAGGATGGAAAAAACATTGATGTTCCAAAAGCCGCTATATAGTAACTTAACGAGAAGAAGTCATGGCATTGTAGAGATTTTGTAAGATAAATGTCGAGATCGACCTTGAATCAAATATCTTGTCCTGTGCGGGAAGATTTGCGCAAGTTTTCCTTTCTGATCCACACGACTGTTTTGCTGGGCGCCTAGATCTGAACGCAAAGGTCTTCTTTGTAGGCTCACACACAAAGGGGTAGGAAACCTGTGCTCAAGGGCAAGCAAAGTCATCACGTCGCACCGAATGCCAGAAGCAAAGGTTGGAAACTTGGGTGGGATAATCCTGCGGAAAAAGCGAGCAAGTATGACGCGGGTGCAGTCAGGAACGGAACCTATTACATGATCTTTCTCAAGGTCTGGGCGACCTAGGCCGACAATCAATCGTTGTAAATCGAAGGTGTCAGGGGTGACTGGTTCTGGTACCTATACTTTAATCTTCAACGTCTGATATTGGCCATTCGACCATCACTCTTGTTCCGGATGTTCTTCGTCCTTCATTAGAATGAGTACCTCTGCAAGCCTCGAGAATTCCAGAGGCGTTTGCTGGGTAGTCATTCATGTACAGCTGAAGGTCAGGACTACAGAATGGTACTCTTGCATGCCAGATCTGTAGGTCTTTACATAGGTGCCTGGGTGTACTCACCAAACAACAATTAAAGGAGGATGACAAAGACGGAAATTTTGCTCGATGAGCTTACCTCGGCGTGGGGCGTGCTGACACGTGTGTAAATATGACTGCAGGAATGATTGTGAGCAAGGTACTGTCAGTGATTACATGACCCTGATACAAGGAGACATCAGTTCATCCGTCTGTTTTCACCAAGAGCAGCCTACGAGGTCAGGAGAGAAGGAGAAGGAGAAGAACAAATTGAGTCATCAAAACCACATGTCGTTGTCTACTGTACATCTTAAAACAAAAGGGGGTATCCGTCCGCGCCTGTGAAACAAAAGAGAGAACGAAGCAGATCTACAGAAAACGTCCACAATCCATCTGTTTCATCCTGAAGCTTTTTCAACGATGATCTGTCGTGTGTCCTGTTCGTCTAGAGGGGCGTGAGGAATATGTACTCAAGCGCCCCCGGAGTCTGGAAGTGAGGCATTCCTTCGACTCGCGTGCTGTTCGCCATGAAACTGTGCTGAAATTGGTCAATTGGGATGTGATCCAACATGTACAAGAAAACCCGAGAGGGGTATGAGATTCGTGTATAACAGAGAAGAGAACATAGAAGAACCAATCAAGGCATATCGACATAAGTGTTCTTGGAAGAGGAAGAACGTTGCCAGAATTTACTTTTCTTTTTCTCGGCCTTTTCCGGCTTGCCATTCTTTCCAACAGCAGGTGCTGGAGCAGGTCTCTGTACTGGCTCAGGAGGTCCCGATGACATGAGGAAGTCGGCGAGGTCACTGGTGCCGGATGATTGGAAGGGATCGAGCCTGGCAGTCCTGACAACGCCAGCCGAGCGCACTTCCATCTTCGGTCTGTTGCTGCGAGGTACATTGCCGCTGGAGATCTGGGAAGTGATGTGAGCAGGGCGGACTGCGTTCGTGGATGTGGCCGAGCGCACACTGTTGATGCTGGGAGCATATCCAGGATTAGGCGACAAGGAAGGTGTGTTGCCGTTGCCCATCGCGGGAGAGCGTCCGGCCGAAGAGTGCATGCTGGTGATCGAGCCGGCACGAGGCTTCTCAGCACCTGCGACAGTGTTACTGTTGCTGTTGGTTGCTGGCAAAGCGGCAAGCACATCTTCTTCGTCGTCATCCGAATCGTCAGGGATGACATACGGGTCCTTGATTCTGCTTCGTGTACGGCCATCACCGCCGACTGTTGGACGTGTGTTTGGTATCACGAGGTTCATTGCAGAAGAGCTAGGCTGAGGCAAGGGCGACATGGGTAGCTTGAGTGTACTGCCGCTGCCATAGTTGATGTTAGATGTACCATTCATCAACAGTCCTGTGCGAGAGTCAGACGTGGAAGATGTCAGAGGCCTGTTGACATTCGAACTCTGAGCGCCAGTAACCGTTGTGTGTATGTCTCCACCCTCCCAGTCTGCAAAAGGCGCAATGTGTGTCGGAACACGAGCTTTTCCATCAGGGCCAGGTGGTCCGCCTCTGATGAAGTCAATCAGATCACCATTGTTATCGGATGATCCAGTCGCTGCTCTAGCAGTCAAGCTTGGTCTATTGGCCAAACGTTTCGGAGGTGGCCCCGCAGGGCTTCTTGGGATATATTTGCCATTGGAAGTCGTTGGCTTGGGCACAGGTGGAGCATCTCTTGCGCTTGCGGCTTGCGCCTGAGCTGTGGCGCGCATAGAAGTCACACTGCGGCTAGTGGCGAGACCAGGTACAACTGGGTTGGGTTCTCTGTCTGGAGCAGTCGATCGAAAGAAGTCTGCGAGATCTCTTGTAGACTCAGTCTGCATTACTGCTTCGCGAGCCGTCTGACCTGAAGGCAGAGCATGCAAGTTCTGTGGCGAAGGACGACTGATGGAAGTTTTTCTAGATCTGGTCTCCTCGGCCGGCTTTGGCTCTTTGATTTGATTGACGGCTGGGGTTGATCGAGTTGCACTGTTAGATCGCATTGACTGTGTGTCACTGTTTTTCCTAGAGTTGTCTCCCGTGTTCGAGCGAAAGACTGTTGGCTTTTTGCCTCTTGTTTGCGGGCTGAACGCCCTATCAGATGAATCCCTGACATTTTCCGGAGTCAGAGTGTACTTTATCGTTTCGTCTCTCTGCAGAAGAGCATCAAAGTCTTTCTCCGAAGTGAGCGACGAAGTGGGAAGCTTCTTTCTTTCGTCCACGCTCTGTCTTGAGATCTGACGGACGCCGCGGGTGCCAGGGCTAGGCGAGTCTGAGTCTGCCAATTTGGAAGCCCTCCTAGTCTTTACGAACTCAGCTGAGACACGTTGTTCGGAGATGGGAGTTCTTGCACGTCCTGAAGAGGCGTCTGAACCAGATCGTGAGATTCCCAGGCCGGGGAACTGTCTGACCGAGGGACTGGTAGCAATGATGGGAGAGCTGAGGGCTGTGTGGATAACGGGCTCGGAATCATTCTCTGTGTCACTGCCGCTGTCTGAATGCATGAAGGTCTCGGCAGAAAGCTCAGCAGGAGATCCAAGCGCTTGGGGCTTGCTGTCACTGGAAGTTGGAGTCAAGCCCGAGTGAGAACCGCTCAGGTTGCGACTTGCCAAGAAATCTTCGGGGCTGAATGGGCGATCCAAGTCTGCTGCAAGTTCTAGACCTTCTTGTGAAAGATGGAATGCTTGAGTGAATCTGGCTGATGAAGGGCCGTAGATGGCGAGTCTCTTAGGTCGCTGTACTACCTTCATGGCGGGCAGAGTTTCGTCAAGACTTGTGGGCTGAGATAAGATGGAGGCTTTCCCGGTGTGAGCACTGTCTCTTGACTCTGGTCTTTCCGAATGGTCGACGTTTACGCTCGGCAGTCCTTCTCCGGCTTGGCCTTCGGCAAATTGTGAAGTGGGATCGAGGATCTCTACAGTGGGTGTGTCGGTAGGCCAAGCTCCAGGAGCTTCGACAAGTGGAGTGGTCATGGGCAACGGGACTGAGACTGGTCGAGATTTGGCGAAGTTGTCAAACTGATATTGGCGATGGGCGGTAAAGCCAGCACTTTGTGGGCGGTAAGCTCGAGGCGCATAGTGAGATTGCTGGGCAGATTGTGGCCGATCGGGGTCTCTGGCAAGGCCTGGAACCTCGATCTCATCGACGTCGCGCCGGTTCTCGGGCAATGGAATGTTGGAAGCGAGTACATGCTCAGGGTAGTTGTTCTCGGGTCGATCGGGAACACGGTCCCACAAACTGCCTCTGCGAACGACAACCGGACTGCTCGCTACAGAATGGCTCTGTTGAGAGGCACGGTTATGCAAGCGCACCGACTTCTTCCATGCACGCCATTGACGATCCAAAGGAGAGTTGAGCACGGCTCGCTCCAGGTCAGCATCATCGACCAGGATGTACGTGACATGGTCGCTGTTTTCGGGCAGACTCAAATTGGCATTCGCGCGCTGGATTCGACTGAGGGTGACTTGAGATGCCATGGTGAGCAGCATCTCGCCCAGATAGTCGAGCACACCGGCCAAAAAGATCTCCGAGGCCAGACTGATGACACCGGCAGTCTCTGAGAAAGTTGTGTTGAGGCCCTCCTGACGTACGTAACGCTCATCATCGTCAATGTCGAACTCGCTCTTTTCTGAGCGCATCATGACTCTGAGACGCGATCTCTTCCATGTAAAGTCGAGGTTGAACTTGGCGCCGCTCTGGCTCGGAGGTCGGGACTCGTCGAACTCGTCGTCTGCCTGCAGAGCGAGGAGGTCTTCGAGGTTGTCTTGGGCGCTGGCGATGGCGTCTCTTGCGAGGTTCTTCTTGAGGATGTCGGTGACGGCAGGCTTCAGGGCGTTCAGGGCGGTGGTTCTGGCGACGGCAATGTACTCGTAAAGCTGGCGGTCGAGAAATTGGTTGATGGAAGCGACGGCGCTCTCAGCCACCGTGGCTCTGTGGTGGAGGCGCCATGAGTGGTCCTCGTCGGCGCGGGCGTCAGCAACGTCGGTAGCCAGCTGGGAGGCACTGGGCAGCGAGATGTACTCGGGGGCGGGCTTGACGTTGGCGACTGCAAGGGGGTCGTGGTAAAGGTGGCTGCCGAAGCAAGGGATGGAGAGTCGCTGGCGATTGAGTTGGCGTACGAGTAGCCCATGGCTGGAGCTGGTGCTGCTGCAGATGCAGGCGCANGTAACGTGTGCAGAGGAAGAGCCAACAGGTGCCGTCATGCTGCGCAGACACGAACGACAGACTCAGGCTCGCAGACACAACAACGAGAACGAAGATCCAAGGTCTGCGTTTCAGGTGCGCGTAGGTACAAACGTACAATATCCGATGTTTCGCATCAGCCGCGCCACAAAGTTTTGATCAAGTCGGTAGGATCGTCGGGTCGACCAGCGTCGAAGGCGTGTCAACAGAAGACAAGGACGACGAGAGCGACGACCAGTCCGGTCATCTATCTACCAAGTACCCTTCTCCATGGCCGGCATGATAGCCGTGGGTTTTACCAATTCCATCTCTTCTGGTCCCTGCTAGTCGCACGCTGGTACAAGTCTAACCGTCTCCCGCATGTGGATCGAGCTAGGGCACGGTCGTCTCCAGAAACTGACTTCGAGTCCTTGGCACCCATCTCACTGTGCGTGTCTCCGGGGTCTTGAAGATTCTGATGTTCAAAATTGTTGGAAGAGACGATGGATGTATGTTGGAGAGCAGATTGTCATGCAGCAGGAACAATCTGAATCTGGTTGATGAGTCCTTGCTCCTGCCCCTCCTTGATTCTTCCACAAAGGCAGTCACGACCGTTGGCAAAGCAGGCGGCTCTTCCAAACGCCGCCTTCCCTTTCCCGAAGCCTGCTGCCCTTTGTCCGACCACCTTCCATTCTTCAAACCATGGACAACCCCTTCCTTGCTCACGTTTGCCGTCACCTCCAGTAAAGACATCCGACCTGTCTCTCTTGCCCAGCCTCCCATTTCCACCTCCATCTCCAATCTCGGTCCAACCAACCGCCAACTTTTGGAACCGAGAAGCCGTTGCATTTTTCGCTTTGTGCTTGACACGTTTTCCGATCTTCTTGCCGTTTCAGACCCTGCTCGAGTCAAGACTTTTACCTTCTACACGCGACTCTGACATCTTCGTTCAACGGTCAATGGGCAATCAAACTCTCTTTTCTCGTCCAATTCTCGTATTGAAGCTTCGTCTTCGTTAAAATGTTGCAGCCTTTTTTTTTCTATCTTTGCGCTTTGTCATCTAGACAACACTCTGGATTCAAGACACGGCTCTTGAAGCCATCTCGTCATTGGAAAGATGAAGAGCCGACTTCCATATCCTCCGTCTCTACGCGTAGCTATCCCCAGTTCAGCCCTATCGACCGTTCACTCTCCACCTGCAACCCACTTGTCATGCTCCCGCTTTTGCCCTGAGTTTATCGACTTCTAGATTTGGTACAGCAAAGCAGTGTTCAACACCACGTGCCCCGAGGAACGTCAGATCTGCAGGCACGTCCTCGAGCTCTTGGTTCTCGTGCTTGCTTCGTCCAGAGTTCAACTCTGTGGATCGAACACCGCAACACCGCCGGCGCTGGGCAGTATGCCAATCGACGAGAGATCGACACGGCCTATACGGGCGTATGACCACGACAGTCGGGGACACCGAGAAGTCTGACGATCGCGATATCTCATGGTCATTCTACCGACCCTTGTTCTACAGCCTAAAGGTGAGGGTGTCGCCATGACTAGACACCTGGAGTGTCCCACGCTCTGCTCATCTGCTGCGTGGTGTCTCGGCCGAGGCAATCAGGTTGTATTGCCGTCTTCTCCCTACGCTATAGACTATCACATCCCTGAGATGCTGGATGTTCTCTACATCAGACGAACGACTTGTCCTGCCAAACCGCCATCCGAGCCTGTATCGACTACGTTTCCTCCCCTAAGCAAGGTCGACTGGGCGAAGAAGGGTTTGAGGAGGTCGGTGAGTTGTCTGTTGTTCGTCTCCGCAAACCCTGCACTAACTCCAACCTCGTTATATCATGGATGAAGTTGGGAAGATGAACATCGAGACCCCTATCTGTCGAACCTCGCTTGAATGATAGAAGCGACAAGCAATCTATGTTCCATACTCTCGGGTCTTCTGCAGCGATCCCCGGAATCTTGGTCGCGAGTCTTCGTCGGGCTGTTTCCACACCCTTGTGCACATTGCTACCTTCCGCCGAGATATAGAACGTTGCCAATGGTGAAGACAAACATGAGGTTGAAAAGCAAACCATCATATCTCAGAACTGTTTTTGCAAAGACGAGCAAGCACCATGTTTTCACGAGTCGAGGTAGAGCGTCTCGGCCTAATTGTTTTGTTCTTCGATGACACGATCCGCATGCATAGCTTATACCCAAGAAAAAGAAGCAACCAAAAACAATTTTTTCATGTCGTTCTCAAAATTGCAAAGCTTTCCAAACTCCTTTTCGTCGTCAACATTTGCTGCCTTTTTTTTGTTTTTTCTTGACACAAAGATGTCTTTGTTGTGTGTTTTGGATGACTTTCGTATATCACATCGACTCGACGAAGTGAACTGGTCATATATCCATGGTTTCGTATCAATCAGTTCTTCTGGAAACACTCGCACATTTGATAGCTTTTTTTTTCTTAAAGTATAGAAGCAAATTCGATCTTCCTGTCTGACGAACACGGAACAGTATCAAATAGCGACGGGCGAAGATACCAAAGTCAGGGTTCCCCTACTAACCAAGGCTTTTTTACTTTTTCTTTTTCTTTCTTTTTTTCTTTTCTCTTTTTTGAACCTTCTATCGCTTTTTTACTCGGCAAGATTTCAGATGTTTTTTATTCATAAGACTTGTTGAAAGTTGTCGGAATAGTGACACTGGATTTTTTTTTCATGTTCAAAGACAAAGTAGGCAGACGGAAGAAGAAGCAAAAGTCTTGTCAATACGTCAAAATGGATCTGGGCATTCTCGAAACAAAAATGACTCTGATTAAATTGGTCACTTACAATACTTTCAAAAGCAAGAAACCGAGCTGTTTTGGAAACAGCAGATGACATTGAACTTTGAAAGGTGTTGATTTCACTAACGAAAAGCACGACCTCGGTTCACGATAGAATACTTTCACATCGAGAATTCGTACTAGGGTTAGACAGACAAGAAGGTGACAAGCAAGGCTCTCGACGTTTGCAAGGCTCAAGTGTTATGAGCCTGCGTGGTGTATAGAAAAGACATTGTTGGTTGGAAATTGAATCGAGATCCAGAGTCCGCAGCAACACAGTGGCTGACAGAACTTTGAGCGCGTTTCGTTGGAGCAGGAACGGGTCTCAGGTCTCAAAATTGACTATCTCGTGTATCATCTGTCTCGCATGTAGGGGGCAAAAAGAAATAACAGTCTCCCACCGAAAACATCATGTTTCCAAAGATCCATTTGGGACCGGGAGTAAGCTCAGAGCAAGTGTCGAGTAGCCCGTTCAACAAAGATTTGTCCGTGATAGTGTTGTTGATGTAGAGACATGCTTCCTACCCCACGAGCTGAGACCACTGAGACCACCGAACACCCCTCTCAATCATGATTTAGACTGCCTGTCCGATGCTCAGAGATGATCGCAAACTTGCGCAGTCGCTCGCACGATCGAAACTTGGCAATCATCCAACCATCTGAATAGGGAGATGGACACAAATCTAGATTAGAGGAGGGGCCAGGGAGCGCAAGCGATAGATAGTGACGTTGGTAACCAATGGTGTATCCACTATTGGAGCAGAAGCAGACCGTGGTGTACTGAGGAGCGGTGAATCCTAGCTTTATGAGGTGGAAGCTGGAGGGTTCAGGATGCTGTCCATAGTCATCTCATCGTCACCACCGACGGCGCCAGCCTTGGCCCAGAACTTGGACAAATGTCTGGTGCCAGAGTCGCACAGGATAGTGACGACGCGGTGCCCAGTACCCAGCTCCATAGCAGTTTTGACGGCAGCAACACAATTGACAGCCGAAGAACTTCCTACGAACAGGCCGTCACGCTCAACCAGCCAGCGAGCCATCATCATAGCTTGATCGTCGGTAACTCTGATAGCGTCGTCAACGAGCTCTCTGCCAGCCTCGAAGTTGTGGGTTACACGATTGACACCGATGCCTTCTACAATGCTGTCGACTTGGTGACGGCGACGAGTGCCCTCTCTTTCTGTAGGTGAGAACATGACGCCGTGCTTGACTCTGTTGTAGAGACCACTGCCTTGGGGATCTGCCAGGACGACTTTCATCTTCGGTAGGCGAGGCTTAAGGTAGAGAGCACAACCAGAGATGGTTCCTCCGGTGCCTGCACCAGCGACGAAAGCATCCAGGCGCCCACCAGTTTGCTCAAAGATCTCGCGGCCTGTTCCATGTAAATGTGCCAAGTAGTTTGCTGGGTTCTCGAATTGATCGGCAAAGAAGCCACGGCCTTTCTGATCGGGGTCGGAGGTGTGTTGTTGTGCACGAGCGCGAGCCATGTTGACGAACTGGCCCTTGTCGACGATCGAGGCAGGGCGAACTCGTTCCACGACAGCACCAAGTCGAAGCAGCAGGTCAGACTTTTCAATAGCAACGTCGTCGGGCATGCAGATGTGTGCAGTATAACCTCTTGCGCGACAGATGGCAGCGAGTGAGATGCCAGTGCTGCCAACGGTGCCCTCGTAGACCTTGTCACCAGAGTTGGGAGTCAGGAAACCTTCAGCTTCGGCCATCTGGATCATGGATAGAGCGACGCGATCCTTGGGCGAGTTGCCAGCGGCATTCAGGAACTCTGCCTTGGCCAAAATGTCACAGCCCGTGGCATCGGACAGAGACTTGATGCGGATCAAAGGAGTGTTGCCGATTGCGCCTTCGATGCCTTCCCGGATGGCAGTTGCGGGCTGAGGAGCAGCAGGCGAGTCATCCTGGGGCTCGTCGACTTGCAGCGAGACTTGAGTGCTGGAGCGGCGGCGTGTTCGGTTCTTCCGTAGACGATCGTGGTAGCGGCGTTCGAGATCCGGATAGAAGTCCTTGTATCCTAGCGTTATGAGGATGCCGGCGGCGAATGCCAGGCCCAGGTAGAGTTTCGTGTGCTTGTCGAGCGACATTTGATCATCGTCACATGCTGCAATGGATTTGTTTCGAGCAAGTTCAGGGAGTCGCATGCGTCAGTATCGGGAAGGAGCCGCCACAGCTCCAGCCACAAATTCGCACAGCCACATGTTGGGTTTCCCGCAAGCTTGCGACTTCGGTTTGAGAAGGACATGGTCGCTCCTGCCTCTTGGAAAGACAGCAATGGAGTCCGCCGCCGTATCGCAGCTGTTCAAGCAGCTTTTTCAACATCGTCCCTGCCGAACATGTCTCTCGCGCCAAGTCCGGCAAGCGCCTCGTCGACTGTACAGCTCTCAGAAGCAACACACAAGCCCAAACTACCAAGGACGTCGCAAGGAAGACAGCAAGCTTGAGAGCAACTGGCAGCAACGCAGCATCTCATTCCCTCCGGACAAGCTCGAAGAGTTCAAGAGATATCCACAAGTCACCTCGGATGGCCTACGTGCGAGGAAGGAGCGACCGAGGCGAGTGCGCATGCTGATGCGCGACTTTATCGAGGACAGTCTGTACAACCCACAATACGGCTACTTCTCAAAACACGTCGTCATCTGGACTCCTGGCGAACCCTTTGACTTCAATCAACTTCCCGACGAACAATCATTCTACCGCGAATACGGCCAACGCTACAACGATTTCGAGGACCAACTGGACGCAAAAGAATACAACGAGACTCGTCAACTATGGCATACTCCCACAGAGCTTTTCCGTCCATACTATGGTGAGGCCATTGCCCGCCATCTGGTTGCAAACTATAAGCTTCAGTTATACCCTTATCACGACCTGCTCATCTACGAAATGGGTGCTGGAAACGGAACTCTCATGATGAACATTCTCGACTACATCCGCCAGACCGATCCTGAAGTCTATGCACGCACCCGATTCCGTGTCATCGAAGTTTCTTCTGCTCTGGCCTCGATCCAAGGAAACCAATTGATGAGAAACGCTCAGGCCAAGGGTCACGCCGACAAGGTCTCCATCATCAACAAGTCCATCTTCGACTGGGACATTTATGAGGCCTCCCCTTGTTTCTTCCTAGCCATGGAAGTCTTCGACAACTTCGCCCACGATGTTATCAGATACGACCCCTTCACCGAAGAACCTCTCCAAGGCTCCGCTCTTGTCGATGCGAACGGCGACTTTTACGAATTCTACTCGAAAGACATAGACCCAGTAGCCTCCCGCTTCTTGCGCGTTAGAGACGCCGCCTGTAGTGATATCAACTACGCACATCCTCTACGCAATTCTCCCGCCATGCTCAGAAAGCTGAGGAGTAAATTGCCCTTCGCTCCCAATCTCAGCACACCGGAATACATCCCTACGAGGTTGATGCACTTTTTCGATATCTTGCATAAATACTTCCCCGCGCATAAACTGGTCACTTCGGACTTCCATGCGCTACCTGATGCTGTGGATGGTGTTAACGCACCTGTGGTTCAGACCCGCTATCAACGTCGCATGGTTCCCGTCACCACTCCCCTTGGTACGTGCCCTTAATGTCTGTTCTTCCCTGACCCGGCCAGACTAACGTAAAATCATCGCAGGNTTCACCAAGGCTTCTTTGATATCCTGTTCCCCACAGACTTTGCAGTCAACGAAGCCATCTACCGTGCCATCACTGGCAAACTCACCCGCGTCATGAAGCACGAAGATTTCTTCAAGCGATGGGCCTATGTCGAGGATACTCAAACGAGGAACGGAGAGAACCCGCTCTTGAGCTGGTACAAGAACGCCTCCGTCATGATCACCGTATAGAAAGACCCTAGCTTTCGTAGATATGCAATGCAGCAGGGTCATTCTACTTCACGGAAATTCATGAGCAACTCGTAACGTGAATTGTATGATGTAGTTATGAGTGCACATTCATTCAAGCTGTATGAATGGGATCAAGTGTTTTTGGAATGCACACAGAGACCAATGCCGCCGAGAACTAGAGCCATGCCTAGCCATGTATCTACGAAGAAAAGACGATCAGCAAACATTCTGAGGAGACATGACAAGAATGAACAGAGAACCTACCTTTTNGTGATGACCTTCTTCTCCGCCCACCACTCTCCCAACACCGTAAACAGAAAAGCCAGCGAATTTGTAATGGGAACAGTAAGACTGAGTTCTNNACCATCGCCTCAAAGTCAGCATCTTGTTCACACCACAATCCCAACCAACACAAACTCGCAAAAGCCGCCCCCCCAAAAAAAAAACTCACCAGCCTGCCCAATCAACAAGAAAAACCACACACTCCCAGTCACATTAATCAAGAACGGAATCGCATAAGCTGGATTCCTCAACACGTCCCAAACGCCATAGAGCACACCCCAGACCTTTGCTTTGAGCCATGGGGTATTGGGGTGTTCGAGCCAGACGCGGGATTCGGGTGTTTGAGTGGTGGAAGAGGCGACGGCGGCGCGGCGCATGAAGGGGGTTGTGAGGCCCCATGCTGCGCCTACGAGGAGAAAGCCCAGGACGTAGCGGAAGAGACCTGGGGAGGGTTGGGGNGTGGGTGTGTCGGGATTGGGGTCCATGGTTGCGATACCGAGGGTAGACAAAGATCGACCAGTAGAGTTCAAGGAAAACCAAGTCTTTTGGATGATTGGGATCGATATCCGATTGACGTCTGTACATCCCTGTCGCTGTTGGAAGTCGCGATCAAGGTGCTAGACCGGCCAAACCTCGGGAGCAGCGATCGCGGAGATCGAGACCTCCGAAAGCATGTGCAAGCGGCAAGCAAAGCAAACGATTGTTTACTGACATACAGGGAAGGTGCGAATGCCGCCACGAATAACTCGCCTGCAATGGCCACGAATCTTTCCGCCACACGAGCCACTGCCGTTCCCATATCCTCGTTGGTACTCGGTTGAAAGTGCTACTGCCGAAGCCACTGGACTGGACACCTCGAAGAAAGATTTACCCGCGCTCGAGGACCAAGCAAAGAAGACGCAAAATGAGCTACAAGAGATACCGTCAGCGTCGCCGGACGTCCAACCTAATGGAGCGCAGGACGATGGAATCGTCAGACCTAGACGCGTGCCTCAGTCGCTGAAGCGCAGAGTCCAGGTGCGGAAAGTGGAAGAAATAAAGCGCAAAGAGCTGCGCGCAAGAGTTTCTACGCCAATGACTGGCGTACCCCTTTGATGCTGCTCCGCAAGCACACCCCTGAGGGCGAAGAACACCATGTCAAACACCTCGCACGACTGGAGATGCCACAGGGCATGCGAGGCTTCTACCACGGCAACCTGTCCAACCTCTTTCTGGATGTTTACCTGCACACTGGATGTCACGTCCAGGTCTCGCGTGGCGACAACCGTACAGACGACAGGTTTTTGGCCCTGGAGCTGTCGGGCACTCCGACGAATATAACCTTGGCCAGGAGTATCCTAAACGAGGCCGTCCAGGTCGAGAGCGATGATGATCTCAACGCCAAAGGTACCATGGGGAGTTATACTATTACCGCCACGCCCGTCGTAATGGACAAGGTCATGCCCCGCTCCGTCTGGAGCATGCCATCTAGAGCAGCAAAACAGCTATCATACGTGCTCGAGCCGCCGTCCTGGTCATTTCAAAGCTTTGCTGCCTACGTCGCCGAGCTGATCATCTCCACTCCGCCACCTCTTCGCCCCTTTGGAATCGAACACTCTCCAAGAAACAAGCCACATGTCGATCTCGTTACTGACAGGTTGATGGCCCTCTATTCGAACCCGGATACCATCCGTTGGGCTTCTATGCACGCCACAGCCCAGACTCTGAACTTTCTGAGGTCGCACGCAAAGATTCCGCAAGTCCGTGGCGTCCTCGAGTTCATTGACACTCAATCCAAGACGAGGCCTCATCTGCGCTTAGCATTGTCCAACCCAGCCGTCTTCAATGTTCTTCTGAACTCGGCATCTCAAGCCTTGGACTTGCATACCTACAACTTTCTTCTTCGCATGATGACAGACCGGGGTATCGCCCCCAATACTGAGACATGGTCATCTCTGCTGCACTTGGTTCAAAAAGTCAGCCCGAGAAATGCTAAACACATCATCACCACAATGCGACAACGACAAATGCTGTCATCTCCAGTCGCGAAGATGTCCACTGCAAATGCGACGTCAAAACCAGATGCTTCGGAATGGCTGCGCAGAGGAGAATCCATCTTTGACTTTATTGCTCACTATGATAAACTCTGGAAAGGCAAGGACTGGCTGGACACACGTGCCTGCAATCAAATCCTTTCTGCACTCATCGAGGATGGCAATCTGGAAGATACCTTGGCCCTGGTCAATGAGCTGAAGAGCCGAAACAAGCAACCTAATATTGTCACCACGAATATTCTCGTCGATGCCGCAGTCTCATACCGCGACTTGGCATTTGCACTCAACGCGCTGAAAGCCACTCTCAGGGACACGATAGAGCTCCATCCTGGCTCATGCTGTCATACGTTCGACAGACTTGTCCAACTTGCTTTCAGAGTGCGGGCGTACAATACGCTGCGAGTGGTTTGGACATATGCATGTCTTCATGGCAATGTCTCACGCGACCTTCTTCGAAAAATGCAAAAGACGCTCATGACTTCTTTGCATGGTAAAAAGACACCTGAAAAGCCCATCAATCAGCAGACTCTAAACGTTGGTCATACCGCGGAGAGCAATGTCAGTCGACATGAACGCTTCAAATCCTTTGCTGCTATTGTCGCTGTGGGTATCGAGGAGGGATTGGAAGGTGTGCGGAGACCAATTACATCAGTACCCAGTCGTTTCGCAACACTAAAGGCAGCTACACGGTCCCCAATAACCAAATTGCCTCCAAGCGCTGTTTCAACAACTCCCAGCACACCGAGCGCCGACACAGCGAGCGCCAACGCACCGATTGTCGATAAACCTGGGCTTCATCCTGTCCTTGCTGCCGACCTGCTCGCTCGCGAAAAGTTTGTCCCCGGGCCCCCATTCTTGACTGCTTTGCGCGAGGCAATCGATAGAGATCTGCTCTGGAAGCAACAAGGCTATGACAAATCTGCTACTCTCGAAGTATTGCTTGCCGAGGCTGTGCAAGTAAAAGTCGACAAGAAACGCCATGTCATTGTTCAGGACGTCATTCAGAAGCACAAGGAAAACGTGCCGAGAGAGGCCGAACAGGCAGAGCAACAAGCCAGAGAAGTGTTCGAGTCGAGAGAACAGCAACGAAAGCAAAGACTCGAGGCGCGAGCGCTAGCGGATCAAAAAATGAGGGAAGAATCAGAAAAAGGGAAAACCAGAAGAGAAAGGAGCTGGGACTCGACAACAAGGAGAAGAAAGCGATGAGGGAGTGGGAAAAGCTACATCACGAGATGCAGGCAATGCAGGCAACAGTGGACAAGTAGAGCTGTCGTCTCATCCCAGATCAAGGATCCGGTTTTCAAACGTACGTATATATATGTATTATCATTATTTGTATCAAAACCCCATGAATCACAACCCAACCTGCTATATCTGAACACTGCAGATATTTTGTCTGTCTTGTTTTTTCTATATCTTTCCTGCCTCCACTTTACGTCCTCCAATGATTTTTCACTTTCCTTTTGCTACCAGACTCCAACATGGCCGCTTTGTATATCTGAATATCCATCGAAGGCGCTACGACATCTCAGAACAAGCACACTCGCAGAGGTCCAGGCCCTGTTCGAGAAGCTCACAAGTGATTTCGTCCGTGCAAACTGGCGATTAGAGGCATAGATTCCATAGCTTTATCTTCAAGGAAACCATAACCTCATCATTAAGCTGTGAACGGTTTTCCTAGCTCCAGTTCTTGATCGAAGAGTGCGGGCATTATGTGCAATCGTGTACCGAGGGAGGGTGATGGAGAGAAGCCGACGTCAAGATGAACAGTGTAACATAAAGAGAGCAAGGGCAAAAGATGTATTAGACGATGTTGTTGCAATCGAGGTCGATGATTCGCGTGATTGACCATCGATTGGTGCAGATGCGCGGGGCGGAGCTGCGTCCAGGTTTATTCTTTTATTTATGCTTTTCGAATTTATTCTTCTTTATTTGTTTTTAATTCTCTCCCCGTATAGCTTCCAAACGTCCGGCTCGCACGGCTTCCAGCGTACGCGTACGTACCACAATGCGCCAATGATATCCGGACCACTCTCCCTGTTCTTTCTGCTCATCGCTCTCGCTGTCGCCAACGATGTCGGTCCCAGCTACAGTTCCCTGACTGACGCAGATACCTGGGAAACCAGATATGGTCCCTACCCCTTCCACTCGTACCGCTCGGCCAACATCACTTCTCCTGCTGTGAGAAAGGCGGTCGACTCGCCGCAATGCTATGACGACAACTACATCTTTCTCTCTCCAAGAGGCTTTCGCGTTTCAAACCCGGCCGTCACCATTATCGACAACCACGGAAAGCTCGTCTGGTCGCAAAACGTCCAAGGGCAGGCATACAACCTCAAAGTTCAAGAGTACCAGGGTGAACAAGTCTTGACGTACTGGGTCGGCGATGATGCGGTCGGCGGACATGGAGAAGGCTACTTTTACGTCCTCAACAGCAAGTACGAAGAAATCGCCCGCATCAGAGGTGTCAACAATCTGCGTGCCGACCTCCACGAGTTGACCATTACTCCTGCCGGCACTGCTCTTGTCACCTTCTACCAGATATACCCTCTCAGACAGCCTGGCGTCTTTAGAATTACCGACACCGTCTACATCTGGGACTGCCTGTTCCAAGAGTTTGACATGGCCTCTCAGAAACTCATCTTCGAGTGGAGGGCGTCTGAACACCATCAGCTCAATGAGTCGTATGCACCTCTTGGTGGAGAGGGGCTCAGCTTAGATCACCCTTATGATTGGTATCACATTAATAGCGTCCAAAAAGATGACCTCGGCAACTATCTCGTCTCTGCTCGCTTCACCTCGACGATCACCTACATCAATGGTCAAACCGGCGCCATCATCTGGATCCTGGGAGGAAAGCGCAACTCATTTTCTGACTTGAGCAACGGTCACGCGACAAATATGCAATACCAACATGTCGCTCGCTTCACACCTCTGACCACATTTCCTAACTTGATGGCCAAGGAGATCGCCGACCATGGAAAGAAGATACACAAAGGCGGCATCACTAAGCAATTGCTCACCCTCTTCGACAACGGCATCCCGCCACGCCCGGCTCGAGGTCTCATTCTCGAATTGACATATCCAAGTCCAGGCATCGAGAGCAACGCACCTCTGACTGCAAAACTCATCAAGTCCTACGAACACCCTCTACACATCGACTCTGTCTCCCAAGGATCGCTGCAGATCGTCCACTCGAACATCACTACCGCTTCCGACCCTCACATCCTACTCGGCTTTGGCTGGCAAGGCACTTGGACCGAACACCTTGCTGACGGCACCTTGCTTTGCGACTCCCGGATTGTTGTCGAAAAGGCCATGAACAGTCCAGGAAAAGGATACGTGCAATCATACTCGGTACTCAAATTTCCTTGGAAGGGCATGCCGTACTATGCCCCTGTTGCCGTTCCTGGCAAAGACAAGACTAGCGTCTTTGTAAGCTGGAATGGCGCGACAGGTGTCCATGCTTGGCGACTCAGTTTCATGATCGAGGACAAATGGCAGGTGCATAGGAAAATGCTGAAAGAGGGCTTCGAGACTGAAATTGATCTTCCTCACCCGAACGGCGTAGAGACAAAATTGATCAGGTATGTGGTTGTCGAGGCTTTGGATGAAGATGGCAAAGTGCTCGGCAAGACGGAGATGGTGGATATGTGGGCGAGAGGAATGGTGAGTAGAATTACTCAGATGGCACCTGTGGGAGACAGTTTTGCGTCGCTGCTTGGACTTGTTTTTGTCATTGCTGTTGTACTGTTTGTTGCTGATCGCATGATCAAGTCGAAAAGAAGTGGGCTGGCGTATCAGAAGTTGAGGCGGCATTGATTCGTGTTTTTATCGTCGTTGCGAGGAAGCTGCTTGCTTGATTTGTGTATAATATTGTATTCATAAGCCCACTATCCTACTCTTCGTCACATAGAAAGAGATAGCAGTCATGCTTCGACTGCGCTGCGAGTGTGCTGTTATGATCAAAGGCCAACGACCTAAATCTTGCAATCTCGAGGTAGAAGAACAAGCCAAGTCACCAGGTCTGTGAACCCAGCTCTCGTCTTCCATTCTCTCGACCTGCAATCGACGTCGTGTTCCGAGGATACGAGTGTGCACATGGCCTGGTAGTTATGCCAGAGAGAAAGGCTTACAGGCCTCGTAGCTTGCTCTAATGCAGCAGACTTGTGCTCTCAATCCGATATATTGTACTTTTCCTGCAGTCTGAGATGTTTGAAGTTTTTCTGATCCAGATTGCATATTCGTTGTACCAGTGTCGTGAGAACCACTTTGTCGCTTTTGTATCGCCAATGATGCTGTAGGGAGATAAGAGAGGTTGTGCAGCAGGATCCTGATATGCGAGGTGACAGAATATCGACATCATCTTGCATACTCGGGACCTTGTGTTCTCATCTGATCACGCACTTCCTCTTGCTCGAAAGTGAGATTGAGCGTTCTGCGAGCATGATAGTGGGTCATTCCCAGAAAAACGGACGTGTTTGGAATTAGTGATCTTGAGATATTCCATCTCGAGTAGGCTAAATCCATCCATCAAAGCGGCGAGCGTGGCTTCGCACACTGTCACTGGGATTCCTTGTGAGCTCAGCGATCTAATTGACAACTTCTTCTTTTGTTGCGGTTGTGGGTCTTGTGCTAGAAAGAGTGTATCCCAGCGGCGGCTTGCCTCGCTGATGACCATCTGCATACCTTCATTGAGCTTTTTGTCCAAACTCACTAACAATAGGTTGTTGTGAACGGCAATGAACATCTATCATCCATCATCTGTGAGAAAAGCTCATTAACTCTTTGCAACACATTTCTCTGTACAATCACAGACTTCGCAAGATGAACTTCCTTTCTCGATGACGGTCTCACTAGGGTTTCTCTGAGACCGATCGCGGAATTTAGACTCTTATACATCTCCATGGCATGCTTTTGCTCCACGCGTTTATGTGAGAGAACGTAGAGGCACGATAGTGGCCTCCAAAGCAAGTCTCTTTCGGTGTCGTCGGCCACCCACAACTCTCTGCTTCACCTCAGATCTAGGAATCAGAGGATTTCGCCCCTGGTACTGCCACCTGACGACGGCACCACCGAACTTGTGCGCTTCAGTAGGAGCCTTGTGATCGTCGGTTTTCTCGTTGACCTCGCTCGCCTCCTGGACATCCTCTCCCTTGATCTCCTTGCGCATACCGTCCTCGTCCTCGTCCTCCTCATCCTTGTCGTCAATGACAATGACTGCATCTGCCCGGGCTTGAGCCAAGAAGCGACTGGCGAGTGCCAGCAACTTGGCGCCTTCACCGTCCTCGTCGTCGGAAAACTCGATATCCAATTCAGCCTGCTTGACAGCCCAAACAGCATGGCGAAGACGGCTACGCTCTCCGTTGGCCAAGATCTAGTAGACTGTCAGGTTCGTGTTGTGATTCAGTAACAAAGCCACTTACTAGACGGGCGTGAACATCGTGGGGGTAGAGGCCCTAGATACACAAGAAGGATGATGCCATGGTGTTGGCTCCCTCAATATCTCCCTCTGTCAGAGCCTTCATCATGGCTTGGTATATCTCCTAGCGTTGAGTCATCATGTTCTTGAGGAATCGCAGAGCCGAGAGATCGGCGGAAGGGGCTCCCTCGTTGACCAGCTGCTGAGGCTTGGAGGCACCTTTGGTGGTGGAAGGGGTCGATATGTTGGGAGTTGATGTGATATTCTACCTGGAAGGTTGGCAATATGTGGTGTTGTGTGCGTCAACACGGGGTGTTCGTAGAGAGTCGCAACGGAAGGTGCATTTGCGTCGACCCTTCCTGTCTTGGACCAACTTACGCACAACGACACGACTTTCTCACAGGGAAAGGTGAACATGATTATGGTCGTGTGGAACACATCATTGATACAAAAGGATTGATATATACAAAAGAAAAGCAATTACGAAATATGGGTCACCTTCATCGACCCCTTCCACTCACTCTTCTAGCCATCATAGGCAACAAGGAAGAAGCCCAGGAACGCGTACCCACCTCCGCATCTGACGTTTGAGCTGTTGGGTATCATGTACAGATTTTGCGTCGAAGGACACCAACCAAATCCATATACTACAGGATTACCGTTTGGTGGGCCGCTGCTTTGGCAACTGCCATAGTAGCTCCCAGCAGTACTGCCTTTGTAACTGCAAGTCACTGTATATGATCCAGAAGAAGGAGCCTCGATGTATATCTTGTTGTCTGCCGTACCAGAATCCGGCTCGTAGTGATCGACGAGGGTCATAGAAGGGTCTTGCCACGAACGAAGAGTGCCAGAACTGTCAATGAAGAAGGGCATAGCTGCGTTTTTGTCCTGAGTGAACACGACCTCGCCTGAGCCGCCTCGGCTGACGAAACGACTTTGATCTCCTGAGCTAGAGAGGAGGAAAAGGTTTGGAAGATTCGTTGCCGTTGCGTAAGCTGTGAGTGTCGTTGTTGTTGATACAACTTCGGTGACGGTGGTCGTGACAGATGTGGCCTCGACACTACACGCATTGGTCACATCCTGAGGAGAAAACGTGGCAAGAACGCTAGGCTCCCCATCCACCACGCTCGACGTCGTGGTCGAAGCAGCAACGGACGCATCGAGCTGTCGACGTCTCAGAGGCTCTCCTGCAGCCATAGGAGCAGCCGTAATGATGCTTCTTCTGCGCCGGCCATAGTTGACAGTGATTGTCGAAGTCGTGGTCGTGCTGATGACTTGTGTCGAGGTCGTTGTTGGTGTACTATATGACAGCAACGAGGAACAATAGGGCTGTAGCGTAGCTGATTGAATAGTATCCCTGGCTTGCTTGAAACCACAGGTCAGAGCTGCGCCAACATCAGTAGGATCGTAAGCGGCCAGTATTCTGGCATTGTTGAAGCCAAGATTGAGTGCTGGCCATGAACCACCAGGCTGCCCCTGGCAGTATGCGGTGATCGAGAAACTGCCGGTTCCGTTATAGCTTGCAGAAGTGGTTGTGTTAAACGACACGAAAGCAGGACTGGTGCTGTCGTAGCGCACGTAGCTCAAAGTATCATGCTCCGTGGCCTTGACTTGAATGTCACATCGCACACCGGTGGGTAGGCCAGTAGGGTAGTTCAAGAAAAGGTCATAACCGACGAAGAGTTGTTCGCCCATGTAGAGTGTCACGCCAGGCTGGCTGATTCCGCCCCAAGCATAACCGTTGACAAAGTTACTATTGGGAGTGATGGAAAGCATACCAGCGAATGCATAACAAGACTGGGACGCGTTGACTGCGGGTGTGCCGAGTTGCATATCTGAACTCTTACCTTGGGTGAACTTGGCCCAAGGTGTTACAGAGCTTGCGGCAAATTCGCCATTAGTGAGAAGCTTTTGGTTGGTCGAGTGTGTGGGATATGTGATAGCTGTGTTCGAGCTCAGAGGGACGGCTTTGAGAGTGATACCGGTCGAGTTGCCCTGGGACATAGCGAGGTATCGAGCATCGCCAGTGCTGACTGCCCAATTCTGGAAGATATCAGGGGTACGAGAAGACGTATATTGGCAAGTCAAGATGAGATCGCTATCGAGGCTGCAACTCAAAGGCGCATTGTTCGAATCGCCAAGAGGCGCGACCACGGTCGACTGACTTTTGACTGAGAACGCTTGTCTGTTGCCCGACAACACTGAGTTCGACCCCCAGTATACGTAACCAGTAGTACAATCGAGAGTAAAGTTGAGCGCAACGTAGCCGACGTTGAACCCAACAGCAGTGGCACCATTCGTGAGACCTTGCATCGGAGTGCCATCTATCGCTGAGTCGGTCCCAGAAATGTACAACTGGAAAACCTCATTAGCAGTAAGGGGAGAGGTGCAAACTGGGCTCGGCTTGACGATAGATGTGGTAGATGTGCTTGCTAAATCGCCTGTTGGCGACACCGTTGGACCGGAGGGCACCGAGGTCGAAGCAAAGCCGCTGGATTGTGTCGACTTGTTCAAAATAGACGACTTCTTCGTACTTGGCTTGATTGAAGTGGCGGTTTTGGACTTGGTTGAGGTCAAAGTAGACGCCGAAATAGTCGAAGTCGACGTGACTGAAGAGTTGTCATCGCCTTGCGCAGAGGTCGGGAATGAGCCACTATCCGAGCCATCTTCCCCTGCTGGAGTTGTTACAGCAGTACCATCATCACCCGCTGAGGTCGTAGCAGCAGAACCATCGTCCATTGTTGATGTGGAAGCGGCAGATCCATCGTCGCCTGCTGGAGTTGTTGCTGGAGATCCATCATTCCCGCCATCATAGCCATCATCGCCAGAGCTCGCTCCAGAGCCATCACCCGAGGCAGCACTAGATGTGGGCTTAGTCTTACGCGTGGACGACGAAGATGTCTTTACACCCTTGCCTAGAGTTCCTGTGACGGAAGATGCCCCCTTCGTGCTCTTCGAAGCAGATGACACTCTTGTACCACTCTTTGAAGCGCTCGACAGCTTGGTGCCTGATCTGGAGGCTGAGGTTACTTTAGGACCGGATTTGGATGCTGACAAAGACGACTTGGAGCCGTTGATTGTCGTCTTGGTAGAGCTCTTGTTACCTGCACTGCCTTTGACTGACGTGGTCGCTGAAGACTTTGCTGTGAGCTTGCTGCATGCGATCCCGATGCAGCGTCGACTCGACGAGCTAGAAGTGGTGGACGCTGTAGTGGTTTTCGACAAAGGTTTCAATGAGATAGGCTTCAATGTAAGCTTGCTGCATGGAGTTTGCTGAATACCACACAAAGCTCCAATTCGAGAAGAACTGGAAGCTTTAGAAGTCGTCTTTATCACCGAAGTAGCGGGCTTTGTCGATGTTTTCAGCGTGCTCGGAGTTGTCTTCGCAGTCGTTTTTGGAGTATTCTTTGCAGTGGTCTTTGCGGTAGTCTTGGCAGTGGTCTTGGGTGCCGGTTTCGCGGAAGTCTTCGCAATTCTTACGACAGGCTGCTGCAGAGCAAGCTTCATCTCTTGTGAAGCGGATGAGATGCAAGCACAAGCAGCCGTAAGCTCTTCCGGGGTCATGCCCTCGATTGGTACCTTGGCTCCTTGACTAGCCTTGAGATTAGCAAACTACAAGGTGTAAATATGGTGATGTGACATACCCATCGAGCCATGTCTGACATAGACCAGGATGAGTTTGTGTGTTGAACTGTACCAATGCAACATCCGCTTTGTTACAAACTGTGGACGTATCAGTACAGAGGGCTCACTCGTGTAGCACAGTGATGACATACCATTCGAGGTGTCAGAGGAGCCATCATCGGTTGCGGCAGCAGCAGCGAGGCCTGCCAAGCAGAATGGAAAAAGGTGTTGGACCAACATCTTCCCACCAAACACAACAACCTTACCAGACGTTTCCGATATGTCTAAGAGAAGTACAAGCAAGCCTTTATACAGTCTGCAGAACAATTAGGCAGAATCGAACAACTGGTGCTCTCTCCAAAGGAGAAATTGAGCCCATAACGGTATCACCATTTTCGACAAAGGCCACACCTCAATTGATTGTCTCATGATCGTAAAGTTCAACATGCTCATTTCGATATATCAGTTGGGCGTAAACCTCGGTCGGATGCTCCTGCTTCCTGCTCCGAGACGGTAGTAATAACAACGAAGGGAAATCCTGCTGGTATATTGGTGGCTCCATCCAGGCTTGATATCTGCTTAGAATGCAATTATGGCGCAAGATATCTTAGCTGAGTACACGTGAGCGTTGTAGGGTTACAGAAGTCTGTTCTTTGACCTCATGGGCGGGAAGACCGAGATGGTTTGTTCGAGTATCGGTCAGAGAACAATGCATAGGCCGCTGTACAGCCATGTAGACAGGCTGTTGATTGTGATTGGTTTCCTTGTTGGTCAGATGTTGGAAACGATGGAGTCGCAAGGTTTGACAGTTGGTCGGAGATGCCGTAAACATCGTCCAGAATGTCTAGGTCTTCGTTGTATACGGCGCCGTTGAGAGGATATACTCAATACTAGGACAGGGTTCTGGTCGTCAGTCGGTGTAAGCGCAAGAGCCTCCTTTAGACGCGACAATCAGGTTCTGGCTTCTCCCAGGACATACCTACCGAACCTGGTACGGTCAGCAACCGCAAACAATCACATATAACATCGGGACTCGTGAGTGATGCTGTGTGCTCGCCATGGCCGACAGCGAGACGAGAGCTAGCGGCAGTCATGGATGGTTCGGGACTTGAGGAGCAGCAACGGCAAACTGCGAGCTGAAGAACGTCTTTGAGGGGTGCATGCTGTTCTGGCCTTCTACGACGAACGGGCGCTCGAGGACGTTTCCTAAGTACGCCAAGCCGAGCTTTCTATCAGGATGCCCGCTAGAACGTTCTCTAGATTCGAGGCTGACGCCGCATAAACTATGTCAACAGAAGTCTTCTCCGACAGCCGGTAGAGCTTGTTCGCGAGCTTGTCTCCTGTTCATCAAGACCTTCCAACGTCCACAACCCATCTCGGTTATTGTTCCTGCGTCGCACGACCCTCTTTCTTCCACAAACTCTTTACAGATCATCTAGAAAAATATGGCAATCAAGGCGTCCAACGGTATATCAGCTTGTGGAAGTTGGACTTGTCTGACCTCTGCACCGACAGGGACAACTTCTGTGAACAAAGCAACGACATAGTCATCTATATAGGCCATGGCTTCCTCTGGCACTGTGTTTTGCAAATCAAGGCCGTCGACGCCAACCCGATCTTGTACCTGGTCAATAATTTGACCGTCCATTCGTTCTTTCTTTCTTTGCTAGGTGTCCGTCAAGATGTTGTGTCTACCAAGATTCATCACATGGCTGCTCTGGGCCATTGCTTTCGGCCATCTTGCACAAGCAGCCCCTGCCTCCAAGGCATCATGCAGCTCTACCGACCCTGTCCTTGCCGCCATCAAGAACGACTTCGGCTCGCCTCTCGCCTTCTGCAAATGGTGGTCTGGAGCTTCATACATCTCCTCCAGTCCCATCGATGGCGTCGCTGCCTCCGACATCAGCAGGGTTTGTGCTTGCGTCAACGCGACGCCGACTCTAGTCGGTAAGACAACGACCAAAGCAATGGCTTCGCCCACTGGCGTGAGCAAAGTACCCAACTTGGATGCCCTCCGCAAATTGGTTGCTCAGCCGCTACCATTTTGCAAGTTTTGGTTCAATGCGTGAGTGTGCCCGAGAACGAAACATGATCTGTTCTTGTTACTGAACATCTTCTAGCNNCCCGCCCGCAAAGGCAGTCCTTTCACGGCACTCCCTGCCCCGGTAGTGTCACAAGTATGCAAGGCTATCACCGCTACACCCACGTTGGTAACCACGTCGTCAAAACCGTCCCACGTTTCTTCGGCAACAAAGAAGACCTCATCATCGTTCTCTTCCTCCAGAGTCTCGACCCCGTCAAAGTCTAGTTCGAAGCTCTCTTCATCGACCAAGATTGCTAGCAGCTCTGCCAAGCCCGTGGCATCTTCGTCCAGCTCATCCAGTACCTTGACCAGTGTTGTCAATGCTTTGCCCACAGCTACCGCAATAGGATCTGTCTTCACGGCTTCCGAAGTCACTCTGCCACCAGCCCCCACTGCTACTCTTGGAGCGCTGGTACCTCCAGGCCTCGATCTGAACAACGTCGAGAACTTGACTCCCGACCCTCAAGCTAGCCTTTACTTTGGCGGTGCGCAATCCGCCGACAATGCCACCTCCACTGTCGCCAAGGTCGGCGTTGGTTTCCAGCACCCTTCGGTCGTCCTCGATCACACCAGTTACATCAAAAGTGTGCATTGTGACAACTCGACCATCACCATTGTCTTCAACGACGCTTCAGCATTCCAGCACTCAGGAACTGAGTGGCAGACGGACGGCCATGTCATTCTGGTAACCTCAGAGGATACCTGTGGAGCGAATGGAACCAGTACTATGTTCTTGACTGAGTCTTTCACTTTCGACCCTTCAACATTGATCGCTATCGGCAAGGGTCAACAAGCCCACCTGGCTGATGTGTTTGACACCCTAGACCTTGATTTCGGCACTATTACCACTTCGAACACGACCTACGTCCCGAACTGTGGTTCTATGAACGGCACTAATGGCACTTTCCCGTCGGCTGCTTGCGGCAGTTCCTTCGATACAACTCTTGATCAAGAACTTGGATACTACAGTGGAGCGGACGCCGACACCGACTCTGTTCTTGCTACTATCGCCCCTACCAACCAAGCCGTTCTTACCAAGCGATACAGAATTTCTCTACCGGTGCCCAAGGTCTTCAAAACAATTGCAACTGTTGCGAAGGCAGTCGCAGCTCCCGTGGCCAAAGCAGTTGTGAAGATATTACCACCAGCGATCACCAAAGCTGCTACAGATCTTGGCAATACACTCAAGTCGGTGGCGTCGTCCGCTGCGTCCCTGATACCAGCCGTCACACTTTCCAAGTCCTTGGATGTTCCTCTCAACCTTGGTCCTGCCCAGAACGACCCTTCCCCCTGGGGCAATCAGTTCAAATTCTTCGAGTGAGAGCCTCTCTGAACGTGTATTCGATGTCAGAAACTGATGAAAACAAAACAGANNTACAGTCCCGATTCGAAAAAAGACGCTTCCATGATCGCCGCAACCCAGAAATCTCTCAGTGGCATGTCTGCATCACTCAACGGCGTCTCTAATCCCAAGCCTGGTATTCAGATGTACTGCGTTGATTGCGGTATCAAGGGTGACTTCAAAGCTGTTGGCACCGTTTCGGCCAGTTTGGCCAAGGGAGTCACCAGATGCGATGTCAGTCTTGATGGTAACCTGTACGCAGGCGTGTTCGTTGGTGTCAATGCCTTTGCTGCTTATGAGAAGAATGTCCAGAAAGATCTCATCAACAAAGGTCTCCCTACCCTCAGCATTCCTGGTATTGCCGTGCTCGGACCCAAGGTCACTGTCTCCTTGAACAGCAATCTCAAGGTCCAGGCCGCTGGTCAAATGCTCATGGGAGCATCAATGTCCTGGCCTGCCATTCACGCCAACCTCGATCTCCTTGACAAGACTAAATCAACTCAGTCGGGTTTCACGCCCGTCATCACGAAGAAGTTCGATGCTTGGGGTGACGTAACGGCTTCAGCTTCCTTGGCCCTTCCAGTCACTCTGTTCTTCGGTGTCGACATCCTGAACGGAAAGTACTCGAAGGGTATCTCGCTTGTTGATACTCCTTCTGTCAGCGTGTCTGCTGAGCTAGCCATTGCTGCTAGCTACGGTACTGGAGCATCTAACGGCGTCACTAGCTCTACTGGTTGCTTTGGTATCAAGTACAACATCGGTCTGTCGAACGACCTTTCAGTCCACCTCCTTGATATCAACACCTACACTCTGTCCTCATACCAAAAGCCCAACCTGGCCAACGGTTGTCTTGGTCGCGCTGTACCTACAGTCAAGCGTACCACCTCTTCCTCTGCTGCTCCCACGTCTACCGATGACGCAGATGGTTCTGCGGCTACAGGCGATTCAGGCTCAAGCTCGTCTGATGGAAGCAACAGCGGAAGCAGTTCTTCGCCAACCACGACCGATTCAGGTGATTCGTCTGCACCTACTGATGCAGGTAGCCAACCCACTACGTCAGATGCTGGCAATCAGCCCACCACTTCTGATGCCGGATCGTCTGACCCTGGAAATGTACAAACTACCACGGATGCTGGTAGTGCGCAGAGCACGACGAATGCTGGAAACGCGCAGACCACACCCAACGCTGTGACTACCACTCCACCATCGTCCTCGTCCACGATCAGCGTCATCACTCCCACTCAAAGCGCCCTCAAGTGCGGAGACTACTACACAACTAGCGATGGTACCTACTGGCAGGTGGCTTGCGGCTTTGACTACCCTGGTCACGACATCATGCATACTCCCTACTCAAACATGGCTTCTTGTATTGATGCATGTTCAGACTACGGCTCGAGCTGTGTCGGTGTAATCTGGGTCCAACGTGGCCAAGACGCTCAAAATTGTTGGTTGAAGAGTGCCATTCCGAACAAGGGAAGTATTCCTTCAGGTCTTACCCTCTTCGCCGCTACGCCCGTGACCTACGCCCCATTGGCATCGTGTCCGGGCGCCGACGGCACCACCTTTGTTGATGCCCAAAAGCAAGTCTACCAGATCAAGTGCTCTGCAGACTACCAGGGTTACGATCTTGGAGGTTTGACTGGCTACTCCAACATGGAGGCCTGCATCAACTACTGTGACACTAATCTGGACTGTATCGGTGTGTCTTATGCTTACAGCGGCACTTACAAGACACCTCTCTGCTACCCTAAGTACGACATCACTACCTCACCACTCAATGCTACAAAGTTCAGATACAAGGTGGACTCCGCTATCAAAATGAACAGACCAGCCAAGAAGGCTCTTGGCTCATGTCCTTCGATCGACGGTAGTACGTTCTACGACGCTGCTGGAAAGTATTACCAGATAAGCTGTGGTCTCGACTTCGAGGGTAACGACATCATCGAGAAGGACGGTATGTCGACTCTTGAGCAGTGTATCAACGCTTGCGATGCCACGTCGGGATGTACAGGCGTTGGCTTCGCTCACGACGGATACTACGGGAGCAACCCTGGCTGTTACCTGAAGAGCGCTCAGTCGAGCAATCCCATCAACAGCACGACTGATCTTTCGTACATTGTTGATTCTGCGTTTTTGGTGGGCGGCTTGCCCTCCTCGAAAAAGAGAGATGTGGCTGCCAACGTCAAGATTGTTTCTTTGACCTCGTCCTCTTCGTCGACATCATTGTCGAGTACCTCAGTCTCTTCCACTACTTCATCAAGCTTGTCTTTGTCATCAACCTCCTCCGTGTCGACTGCGTCAAGAACTTCAACTAGCTCTTCCGCCTTGACAACTTCATCTGCCACTCTGAGCAAATCGAGCTCCATATCCAGCTCTAAGACAATTTCATCTACCTCCTCCTCAGCCAGCGCCTCAGGCACTGTCGCTTCTGACAACACCACCGCCATCATTATTACAGATACTTCAGGTCAACTCCAATTGACCCCCTCCGGCGACGGCAATATGCACATGTCACAGAACTCCTCTGCTGCCAACTTCGGCTCCGACGGAAGCGTTGCTCTGGGAGATGCAGCCGGAAGCTTCTTCGTCTACTATCCTGACATGATGGCCAGCTATGGGGCGTCTCGTTTCCGCCTTGCCGCATGGGGATCCATTCCTCACGGTGCTCATATTCTCACTCTTACACCCTTGCAGAGTGGTTCTGTCACCGCCTTGCTTGCAGTCGATACCCTGGGTAACTTCTTCTTCCCTGTCTTGTGCTCATTCGAGGGTGCACAGCAGGCCAAGGTCTTCCTTGTCAAGGAGTCCACGGCTGATTTGAGCTTTATCGCGGCTCAACAGCTGAGATTTACTATGACTGGTGGTGTTGTTAGCTCTTGCAATCCGTTGGCGTTGACGTCCAAGAGCCTCCAAGCATTTGCCTGAAGGAGGTAATTTTTTCGTGTCTCTTTTTCATAGAAATAACATTTTTCGTAACGTTTCATACCTATTCTCAACTCGTCGTGCATACTTTGTGGCTCCATCTATCCTATATCCTGTTACTGTGTGTGACGACTTTGATACACAACTCCTGCCAAACATCTCATTAGAGGGTTGATATCCACTACTTCTATTGACATTACACAAAGTTATGTTCTGGGGATACGGAATCAGGAGACAGCGCGGCTACCGCCAACGTTCAGCGATACGCAGCGACCTATCACACATCTTTGCAGTGCCGAGCTAGCTTCCACTAATCGTGATACTGTCAACTTCGTTCATTCGTGGCACACGCAACGCCGTCGAGCTCTCATCGCGTCTCCATCACGCTTCAGACTTGATAGTCTGCGCACTCCCCATCAAAATCTCACGCTTACCTACAGTCAGAACGACTAACAATACACGCGGCCGTGTCGTGAAAAAACATGCTGAACCTGCCAAATCCGCCCCCAAGCGCCACCACCATCGCGCCGCGTCCCACATCGCCCAAGATCGCGAACCGTTTGCTACCACCATCGACGACAAGTCACTTACACTCGATTACGATAAAGCAATCAAACTTCCTTCCCAGCCGGATCCAAGAATTGGTGAAGCTGAGAAGTGGCTGCGCAACACACAACTCTCTTGGTGGTTTCTGGGCTCATTCATCAACTATTGCTATCTTTATCGATTTGGTGATCAAACCTTGACCAGATATCTATACAACCACCGTCTAGATGACGAAGGGTTGATCGAGTGGATGGAGCACTATCTCACTGAGTACGTCCATGAGGGAAAGATGCACCGTATTTCTTGATCAATCTAAGCGAGGTGGGCATGTCACAAATCCGCTCTTCTCACACACATGCGAAGGGTCATATTGACATCGATCAAATACTGACCCTCACCCCATGACTCTCTTGGAAGAAGCACAAGAAGAACTACACTGGCAGGTCCTCCAAGGTCCAAGACTGTACAGGAGTACGCTTTGGCAGAAGATCAAGTGGCATCCAAGTATGCTCACTGAGTCCGAAAAACACGCGTTGCGCAATGGCGCTCTGGATCCTGCCGTTTTGACCAATCTGATTCGCATGAGTATCGCAAAGTTTACTACTGGATATGGCGAGCTTGAACCACTCTTGGAGCTTTTGCCTGAGCGTAATCCTCCCAAGTCGACATTTGCCATACCGCTACGTCTGGGTGCGTCAAAGTCGGACAACATACACGTGGACACCAAACACAACCACAAGATGCTTTCTGCTCAACAATCTGAGGGGCATTCCCACAAGAATTTCGGCCGCATCATCTATTCTGCCCTTGAGTCCATGCTGGCATTGTCAGCTCCCACCCTTTCCGTCGCGCCCAACGCTGTTTCCACCTCGAGTACTTCTACCCTCGCATTACCTCTCCGTCAAAGCTCACCCTCTTTCGGAAAAAAGATTGGTCCACCAGCAGACGATACCTCTTCGGCCTCCAACCACACAATGCCAGAATCCACCGATCACAACCGCGAATTCCTGGTTCTGCGCTCAAAGACACGGATCAAGAGTACGAACTTCAAGTGAGCCTTTCGTGAGTAACAAAGAAGTCATGACTGTGTCATCCAATTTTCACAAAGGAAGATACGCAAAGAAGGTCCCAATCAACATTCAAACGAAGAACATCCATCTCGACTTGATGCATCGTCGCGATCGAGGCTCCATCCCCTCGACTCTTTTTTGACTCAGCAGCCACGAGGATTTCGGAAAGTGAGAAATGTTCCATGGAGTCATCAAAACTGTTACGCTCCACGAGCATTGAGTTTGTTTTGGCAAGAATTGCTGCAGCACAAATAATTTTTTTCCAAACGTGCTGAAATCATTTTTGACGTAACCGTATAGCTCACGGCAGATCAAAGTCGTCATAGCATACTTTACGTTTACAGTCAGAACCAAAGTTCTTTTCCGAGAAACGAAACACTTGCCCCTATCCATATCGTTATTCTTAGAAAGTGATTCTTCAATGATGAACTTTTTCACATCTCTTTTTCTTGTTACCAGTGCTCAGTTTGATGTGGCAGCTGTATCACGTTCTGTATTACTCTGCTCATAGACATCAAACTACTCCAAGAACGGAAAATTGCGGCGGCACAGATCGTGTGCACGCTTTTATTTTCTTTGTCCTTTTTCTCATCCTTGACTTGCTTTGTTCCATCTTTGATCCTTTTTCTTTTTTTTTTCTTTTTTCTTTTTTGATGACTCTTACCTCTGTCGTGGTAGGAAGAGTCGTTTGGATAGTAAGGTGCTTATTTCCGATGAGTATAATCGATATCCAAGATTCGGCTCGCAATTGGCCGAGTTGGAATGTCAATGGAAAACAAAGAAAACGAAAGAATAAAGGACGAGGACAAATAGTCGCTGGGCACTATGAGTCCTTACATATGTGGATGACATGTTGCAAGTAGGCTCAACTGTATGTGAGGAGAGCACAGCAGGTTGAATGAGAAGGCATTGTTCAAAGTCACCGTGAGCCAGGACCAAGCGTGAAGTTCAGACGGAATATGTATCTATGAGGACAGGTTGGCTTGCTCCGTACACCCGGACTCGGATCTAAAGGTCATTCGCATCAAGGCTGCCAAGGCGAAACAGCACGCTTGCCACTCAACACCTCCGCCTCTCCATCTNNTCCCTTGACAAGATAGATATCCTCATGTCTGACTCCAAACCTGTTTTCCAAATAAATACCCGGCTCGGCTGTAAATACCATCCCGGCACGAAGAAGAGTTTCATGATTGCCCTTGTTGAGGTAGGGAGATTCGTGAGCTGTGCAACGTCAACAAATAACAGATGATGAAATGAGTCCGCAAAGCATACCTTTAATCCCAATACCATGGCCAAGACGATGTGTAAAAGTCCCTTTGTAGCCAGCGTCATCGATGACTTTTCTGGCAGCGAGGTCGACGCTAGCTGCTGTTGCGTTGGGCACAAACATTTTCGCTGCTTGTGTTTGGGCCTCGAGTACGATGTCCCAAACCTTGAGTTTTTCGGCGTGGAGCTTACTGTTTTGGATCTCTGGTCCAGAGCAATGGAGCAATCGCTGAAGCAAAGACTTTTTGGGTGGGTTGATGAAAAAACTTCGACAGACATCAGAGGAGTAGCCCAAGTAGTGATATCCAGCATCAATCAAGATCATCGTTTCATGCGTCAATACCTTGTCTCCGGTAGCAAAGCCGCCATGTGGTAAAGCTGCATTACCCTCAAATAACACAATGTCGAAGAATAGATCAAAGCCAATCGTCTTTGAAGTGTTGTCCAGGATTTTGATGACCTGGTTCTCCGTCAAGCCGGGCTCCAGACATGGCCGCATTGCCCTGATACCTTCGATGGTGCCTGTATTGACAGCTCTCAACAACTCGACTTCGGCAGGCGTTTTGACTTGGCGAACAGCTTCAACCTCACCACCCAAGCCCACTGTCTTGAAGCCATTTGCATCGAGCCCGCGTACCAGAAAATCGCGGATTTCTTCGTCGACCATAAGAGTGGCATCCTTGTCGGGGAAAAGACTTTGCTTGAGCGTACGATAAGGATTCCAGTGTTCTTCCCAGACAACAATGTCGAGTTCGCCGTCGGAAGGAATACCTAGCATCCTTACTCTGCCTTCTTCGAAGTGTGGGCTGAGGAAGGATGTCTTGGCTTTCACATCTCCTGTAGAGATATTGACGGATGGCTGAACAATCATCAAGAAAGGTCGCTCTTCTGGNCTACAAAGCTATCAGTCATCCAAGTAGCAATGTAGACTCTGAGCATTGTATACCTCCCACGGCTCCCATTGAGGTTGAGAGATATTCGCATAATACTGGAACGAATACCCTGGCTCGAGGACAAACCCATCAACACCTGAAACGTGCAAAGCCTTTGCTAGATTGTCACGTCTATCAAGGAACTCTTGCGCCTCAATCGGACGTGCGTTCTTCAGGAAGTAAAGGTCCTTGTGCAAGTTGTCTATTGAGCATTGCTGCACGCGATCCAATTGAGACTCTGAGCCAAATTGCATNCTATCAAGTATGTAAGTAGGGTACAGCCTAGGGGGCTATCGATCATAAGGAGCACAACTTACCACAGCCCATATCAAGTACAGTGCTGCGAAGCCCGCTACGGTCCAAAATCTCGAGCAGCGGCGAGCTGATCCGCGCTTTTCTGGCCATACTGCGCTGTCGATTGCGTTCTTTGGCTTGACATCCATAGCTCTTGGAGGTACAGAGTATGGTTTAGTATCCTGATGCGACGGCCCAAGAATGACGAAGGCGCAAAAGTGAGAGCGGCGCAGAGCTAGCAGGTCGGAATACTTAGTCCGACACGATAGGACGAGGATTACTGGTTGATAGCAGAAGATAAACCAAGATCGGTCTTCTGCTGCTTCCGGTGGGACAAGCACGCCTATCTCGTCCGACCCTTGCCCGCTGCTTGCCCGGGGGCTTGGCCGTATCTGCCCCTCATCCGGAGAGTTCTCCGGCGGGGCTCGATCCTTCCCAAGGCATATTTGGACACGCTTGCCCGCCCAGCACAAGAGTGCCTATCAGAGCTAGCTGGAAATCGGCAAGACGATCCACTGTGTACAGGAAACAACCTGGCGATAATGTTCCGCATATCGGGCAAGCTGAAGTCAAAGCCAAGTTGGGTCTGTATATCTTGAACCTGATCGCCGTTCGTATGGCTAGATTGTTTCTTGTGTAACCCCGCGAACGAAAGGCTATGTACCATGGCTTCAATGGAAGTGCTTTCTGTCACATCAGACCACAATGCCGTACAAGGCTGTGACAAAACCGATGGAACGAAGGATGGAGTATCAGGAGTGGTTGAGATGTTGGACGTTGAGGAGGGAGAAGCACAGAAGACTTTCTACAGCAAGGGCTCTGTTATCATGATGGTCATCTTCTCTGGTCTTGCGATTGGGTCGGATGGATAGTACGTTTGACCTTTCGAGCCGATAAATGTTTTGACTGACCTGCCCAGTAACGCTGCTGTCATCGGCAATGTAGAGCTGCTGTTGGCCATCCTCTACCCAGAGTCATTGACAAGCTCCATCTACACTCGTCTCTCGAATGCATTCCTGATAGGCATGATCGTGGGCATGTTGATGTTCGGAGTCGTCGCCGATCAGCTCGGCCGAAAAACTGGTGCTGTAGCGACAACTGCCTTGCTTGTTCTTGGTATCGTGCTGTCGACTGCTGCTAAGGGCACCGACGAGACTGGTATGTTCTGGATTCTCATCATCGCCCGTGGTATTGCTGGTGTCGGGGCGGGCGGTGAATACCCTGTGAGCGGAGCTGGTGCAGCAGAGGCATCGGACGAGAACACGGGCATGCGCAAGCACCGCGGCTTCATGTTCGCCATGATAGCTGATCTGTCAGCATCGCTTGGCTATGTCTTTGGTGGTCTTGTACCGCTTCTCCTTCTGCTCTGCGTGGGCCAGCAGAAGGAGAAGTACGATATTGTGTGGCGGCTCAGCTTTGCTCTGGGCTTGATCCCACCTGTTTCGATTTTCTGGTTCCGCTACAAGATGGCTGTCTCGACTGCGTACCGCAAAGCGTCAATGAGGAGGCAAAAGGTTCCGTACCTTCTCGCAATCAAGCGTTACTGGCGGCCGCTACTGGGTGCATCCTCAACATGGTTTTTGTACAACTGGATCGCCATTGTAAGTCATGCTAGGGTCGCAAACTTCACCAAACAAGACTGACCATGTTCCAAGCCGTTTGGTATATTTTCTGGCACCATCACCAATCGTGTCAATGCTGGCGACTCTCTCATCACCAATCTTGGGTGGGGTGTGGTGATCAACTGCTTCTACATCCCCGGACCCTTCATCGGCGGCTATCTGTCGGACAGGATTGGGCGGCGCAAGACTATGGCACTCGGATTCGCAATGCAGGCAGTTCTGGGCTTTGTGTTGGGCGGAGCGTACCACAAGATCGTTCCCATATTTCCTCTATTCGTGGTCATGTATGGCGTCTTCCTCACACTCGGAGAGGTTGGTCCTGGCTCCACCGTGGTGTTAGCATCATCAGAGAGCTTTCCTACAGCCATTCGTGGACAGATGATGGGACTTTGTTCGGCAATCTCCAAGGCTGGTGCTGCGATTGGAACACAAGTCTTCATCCCAATCACGTCGGGCGCAGGTGATCAAGGGGCTTTTCTGGTCGGGTCAGCTTTCGCTGTGCTGGGTGCGCTGATAGCTTTCTTCGTCATTCCGGATGTGGGACGACGACTTGAGGATGAAGATGAGAACTGGAAGAAGTATCTGGAGGAGAATGGATGGGTTGCTGATTGGGGTGATAGCGAGACAAAGGATCCCAAAGGTGTTGTCATCAATCAGAGGTCGTCGTAGGTGACCAGAATCGGAAGATGACATGATCGAACGACTGGAGACAGATTTTGCCTAGAGAGATGGTTATGCGAGATCAAATAGTGGTCACAGTCAATCGTCTGGGAGGCAGTCGTATCAACGCGTTATCTCCAGAAGCGTAACTAAACCGTAGCAAGAGCCTTCGAGAGCTGGTGACGAACCGCCTTCCGTTTTTGCGATTCCGCTTTCACACATCAACACATGTACCACAACCTCATCCGCGACTTTTCCAAGTCAGATTCCACCCACGACACATCACAACTTGAGCTGTCACAAACAATCGACCGACCAAATTTCACTTACCGCCTCTCGGATCTGGTCGCACACCTTCCTCGTAGACTTCGATCGTCACTGCTACGTCCGAATCGCAACGACCAACATCAGCCATCTCAACCATCGATCCGTCTCCCGCCGCCGCCAACATGAAGATGAAATGCAAACACGGCAAAAAGAAGTCCAAGAACAAGTCCAAACCCGTACGTCGTGATGGCGCCCAAGTAAATACTGCCGCACGCAAACAGATCGACCAACCGAGTGCGAAGACACATTCTATTGCATGCTATGATGAGCGCACTGAACAGCGGATGTCCCAGGTGGCTCAACAATTGTGTGAATCGGATGGAATGACGGCTGCTTTCGAGTGCGTAACTAACCTTCTACGCCATCCTTCCCAATCCGTGCTTGGCCAGAAAAAACGTGATGTGGAGCCTGCTCCTGGCAACATGTCTCCCGCCATGGCCAGGTTCAAAGCTGTTCAAGCTGAACTTAATAGCCCGGTCAAGCCAGACTACCCCGGCTACGAGGAAGAGCTCGTAGCACGGTTCCAGAACGCTTTTGCTGAGGTATCCGGAGAGATAAGTGCCACGTTCAAAACTGCCTACCATAGTGAACTCGCAAAGTCGGAAGCCCACGATCTCGAAGTCAAGACGCTCATATCTGCCTGCGAGGCCGGTCACGAAGAGCTAAAGCACAGTGAACCAGACGCCGAGGCCAGAGCACCTTCTCCACACAAGCAAGCAGAGTCCGAACTGGTCGCAGCATTGCCCAACAAGTCACACGCAATCAACACTCTCGTGGGTGCTTGCGAGACCGGTGACTCAGAGCTGGAGCCTGGCAAGCCAGAGGTCGAGGCCGGACCGATACTCCAGTCGAATCAACAATTGATTCAATCCAACGAAGCGACGGCTGCTTTCAAGGATATGACTGCCGCCCTGCAAGAGGCTCCCGAGGTCTCATATGACGTGGAGATTGATGTGAACGGCGTTATGGATCCTGCTATCGAAAACTTGGTTGCTGCCATGGCTCATCTCAATACTGTTCGAGCTGAAGCTGTCAGCTTGATCAGGCCCGACTATCCCGGCTATGAAGAGGAACTCTTCGCCCGTTACCAGAACGCTAACAAGCAATTCTCAGGGCAGTTGAAAGCTGTGGGTGCCGCCATGACTCGAGTTCTTGAGGCCAAGTCACCTTCTCTGTCCGAGCAAGAAGAGCTTGAATTGGTCGAAGCACTCCGCGACAGGTACTCCGAAGCCTTGGAGCTTGTAGGTAATCTCCAGCCCAGTGATGCAGAGCCGAAGGCTAGGGAGAGATCAGAGCTGGAGGCTGAAATATCAAAGCTGGAGGCTGAGACTGCAGAGCTGAAGGTCGGAGAATCGAAAACCAAGGCCAGAGCACCTTCTCCTACTGAACAAAAGAAACTCGAACCGACCGAAGCAGTCCGCAACAAGCATCGCAAAGCCAAGAAAAGATCAGTCCGACACCAAGCCGCCCGCAAGAAATACCTCGAAGCCAGATCAGCACTCAAGCACATCACTTCGCTCGGACTCAAATGCATGGCGGCAAAGGACGATTCGACCCACGATCAGTTCGAACACGACTTCGAATGGAGATACAGCGTCGACTATATGCAATGGGGAAGACTCAAGGCCGAGGGTGAAATTGGGAAAGCTAAAGCAGTAAAGAGAGAGGAGACCAAATTCTGGGACGCCGTGATTGCTGCCGCTGAATGCTTTGCGGAAGGAACCCCGGCCCTTCCCGACCGACTACTCGATGCAAGCAGACTCCTGAAATACTGGTATGGAGTGGCTTGGGCCGGCAAGGACGCGAGCAACGACTATCACTACTACCACCCGTGGTAGTAGTCATGTACAAAGACTGCCGCTTCTTACCATCTGGTTTGTAATCCTCCCTCTCAGAAGATCGTCTGTCGCTAACGTGTGTGTCTCATAGTAGGTCGTTCATTGAGTAGTTCCGAGCGTCAAGCAGCTGGAGTTGAGAGGAGGTCGCTTCGAGCTTGCGTTGTGGTCATCGAGTCGCTCTCTTCCGAAGTTTCACCGTGTCGTCTGAATGACCCTGTCTCTTATCCGGAGTCAACGACAACCCTTTGTCTTCCTTTCGGAAGTTCATACTATGGTGGTGAGCTTTCTTTGTCCTTATTGCAGATGCTCAATGATCTCGATTTGTTTGTTATCGGTAGGTAGAAGCTGTGGCGCAGAAATAACTCAACACCGTAGTCCAATTGATGACACAAGTTTTTGTCCAGTCCAAAGTGCAGTAGAGCACAAAGCTCGACTCGATACTAGAGAGTACTTGACGCTCAATTTTAAGCCTCAGCCATTCCTGCCATACATCGCCGATCTGCTATCGCGCATATCGTTGTATCACTCGGTGGTGGGCTGTTATCATGTACTCGCCGAAGACATCGGCTTCCTGCTAAATAAAAGCCGAGCATCAAAAACATTCCATCTTGGTTAGCATGTACGACCATTTAGCGATTCGGCTTGATCTTTAGCATGGAAGACAGCCACATACGCCATCGCCATGCTTGACATCTTTTGATGAGATGCAAGTCGCCAGAAGCTGCTCGAATGATTGGATGTTGTCGACGACGGCTTCGGTTGAAGACATGACTCGGAAGCCAAGCCCGGTCGGCTTCTGCCCTCGAACTCTACCGCCACCACAATCCTCCAAGCCTTGTGTGCGCCGCATGCCAACGATGTTGATATTGCTTGAATTGACTTCTGTCGTGTTGACATTGCGCTTGACGCAATGCTTCACGACGAGCTATCCTCTTTCGCTGAGTGATTGAGTATCACTTGAACTTCACCACGTTGACATCACACGGGCCTTGTCACGGAAAAATGGTATCCACCCGCAGATCTGGAGAAAGAATGAGCAGAGAGACCCACATCTATTTCTCCATGCCCGTTTCTCCACTCATATGAGGGGATGGAGGTTTGTGGAGGTGACATGGAGGTGAGCGGAGAGGGCACAGTCACAAGTTAGCCCTCAACGGAGTTGGGAGGGTACGGCGACTGAGTTAAAGACTTGTTATCCTGTCCCCCCTTCGAGCATCTTCTCTTTCTCTTCTTTCCATTTCTCTGGTAAGGAGACTTCGACACACTGCAGCACAATATGGCGAATGTGTTTTTCAAGAATCGCAGGGTTTACCTGTTGACATTGGTGGCCTATATGGTGGGTATCTTGACAAGTCTTCGACATTCATCTAGTCGCTGACACGATCCACAGGGTTCCTTCCTCTTTGGCTACGATACTGGTGTCATGGGATCGGTGCTGGAACTGGAAAGCTTCAAGAGCGACTTTGGCATGGCTGCTTCCTCGACAGGATTCAAGAACGGCAGAAACGCAGAGATATCGTCCAACGTCGTGTCACTACTTACCGCTGGCTGTTTCTTTGGCGCCCTCGCTGCACCATGGCTGAACGAACGTCTTGGTCGCCGATACTCTCTCATGATCTTTAGCGTCATCTTTATGATTGGCGCTGCCGTTCAAACTGCAGCTTCTCATGCGATCGGTACCATCTACGGCGGTCGCGTTATTGCTGGTCTAGGTATTGGTGGTATGAGTGCCATTACACCAGTCTTTGTATCTGAAAACTGCCCTCCAGATGTTCGCGGCAGGATCTCCGGTCTCTTCCAGGAATTCTTGGTTCTCGGTGTCATGTTCAGTTACTGGCTCTGCTATGGCGTCAAGAAGAATATTGCACCATCCACCATGCAATGGCGTGTTCCTGTCGCTCTTCAACTCGTTCCTTCAGGCATCATGTTTTGCGGTCTGTGGTTCTTGAAGGAGAGTCCGCGATGGTTGGCCAAAAACGATCGCCATGATGAGGCTCTGGCTAGTCTGGCATATATTCGCTGTGTTTTCACCGACGACCCGGAGGTTTTGCAGGAACTTGCAGAGATTCGTGCGTCTGTGGAAGAAGAGTTTTTGGCTACTGAGGGGTTGAGCTGGAAAGAGTGTCTGAAGCCTGGATATCGCGAACGCTTTGGTATTGCATTTTGCATCATGTTCTGGCAGCAATGGTCAGGCACAAACTCGATCGGATACTATGCTCCTCAGATCTTCGCTTCTGTTGGGCTGAGTGGGTCCAGCAGTTCGCTATTCGCGACTGGTGTCTATGGTACTGTCAAGGTCATCGCTACGGGAATTTTCCTGATTATTGGAATCGAGCGCTTTGGTCGCAAGTGGCCTTTGGTTGCAGGAGCCTGGTGGATGGCGGCTTGCATGTTCATCATTGGCGCTGTTCTGGTATCCTTCCCACCAGATCCTGATGCTGGGTCTGTGAGCTCTGCTTCCATCGCCATGGTGGTGATGATTTATCTTTATGTCATTGGCTATTCTGCGTAAGTCAAACTCACTGGTACGAACACACTTGTGAGGGATGCTAAATGTGCGTGTGCCTAGANNTCTTGGGGTCCTGTGCCTTGGGTTTATGTTGCAGAGATCTTTCCCACAAGGCTGAGAGCTTATGGCGTAGGGTTTGCTTCTGCTACCCAGGTTTGTGTCTCCCAATGTTTTCGACTCCTCGTTCGACATGCTGATATACCATAACAGTGGCTCTTCAACTTTGTCGTCACAAAAGTCACACCTGCAGCCATCAACAGTATTGGCTGGCGCACTTTCATCATGTTTGGCTGTTTCTGCACTGCCATGGGCATTTTTGTCTTGGTATTCCTCAAAGACACTACAGGCCGCAGTCTGGAAGAGATGGATATCCTGTTTGGGGCGGTCACTGCAGAGCAGAGGAAGAAGGATGTGGAGTTGGCTGTGGCAGAGGAGTATAAGGCTGATCCGCATGCTGAGCATGTGGATCGCGTGGAAGAGNACCAGGTGTATAGGGATAAAAGTGGGAAGTAATGCATGTAAAGATAGATAGAATAGAGGGTTGGACTATATATGGATAGATGGACACTGGGCATAGAATTCGGATATGAGATTACACTTTCCTTACATTTGTCTCTTGCCTGACCCAATGTTGGTCTTTTGGGATTGTCGGTGTGCTGTGATGGAGGAGACAGATGTTTTGTCGTATGTTTTCACCAGCCTCCTCCTTGACCTCTTCTTACACCGTATTGCAGCCGTATCCGCCAACAGCCTATCGCTTTTACCGGTCAAGGGACACGATAACAGATCAAGGCCGCGCGTTTCAGCCTGCTGGCAGCCTGAGCAAGCCACCCAACACCGACTTCTTCTGTTCCTTCGTCAGCCCGATGGAATGAACGATAGTGGTCGCAAAGTCGCAAGAGTCATCTGGAAGAAGAGCAAGGAGGCATAAACAGCACAATTGATGCATATATATGCAGAAACAGCTGCCGAGAAGACAGGGCTTGGCGTCGTCACCGCCCGTTTTGTTCATGATGGAAACTGGGGAAAAGCGCAGCGCAAAAGCAGGGACAGCGATGCTTGCGAGAAGAGCGTATCTATATACGCGCGTACTACGTATACTTTCGTGGTCAAGTGTCTTGCAAGGAGCCAGCAAGTCAGACCAACACAAAACGTCCTTCGTTCTCGCAAGAATCGCCCAAACAAGTAGTGGTTGCTGGCAGCAAGTCGGACTCGGAAATCCCAAGATCCGGAAAGGTCGGTCGGGGCGTTTTGGAAAGAAGGGCCGTTGGACCAAAGTTGGAGCTGACATAAACTGCCTGAAGCCCTGGGCTGCTTTCTGTTCTCATCCCTGGACCTTCTTCGTAAAAACAACATTCCTAAGAAAAACACGTCGCTCTACTCTGGATGTTGCTGCTGTAATAGTGCGAGATCCAAAAAGGACAGAGGAAGAATGGAGAATCTACAGATTCATTCGAGGGTGAGTGTCTTGCTGAGCACAGGGGGGCTCGAAAAGCCCGGACCGAACCGAAAGTGTATACAATGGACAAGGCTGACGGACAACAACAACAACAGAGCTACATTGTGCGATGGGTGCACGTCAACGAAGGACACTCGATTGGATGGAGCGTGCAGCCGCACAAGAAGAGCATCAACTTTGGCATCTTCAAGCATCCCGGCACCAAGAATGGGCTGGCTCCTGGCATGCCCACCTCGTCGTCTGCCACCCTTGAACCCCCGCCGAGCGCTCACAGCAACGATGAGCCTGATGGAAGAAAGAGAAGGGGGTCGGTGGCCAAGCACGAGGCCAGTACCGTCATGGAGAAGCTGCACAACATTGGCCTGCGCTGCGTCGAGTGGGTGGGCAACTGCGAGGCCGACAAGGTCAGGCTGGGCACCTACGACGTAACCCCTGGACAGGAGGGCATGTACGGGCTCGTGTTCGACAACACCTTCAGCAAAACCGTGTCCAAGACTGCCACACTTGTGCTCATGACGCACCCGACAAACGCCNCCCCAAAGTCCAAAGCTACTCTCAAGGCTCAGCCGAGCACGCCGAACCTCAAGGCCAGTCCGCGTATCGCTGCCACACCGGCTGCCTCCGTCGAGTCGCTGGGCAAAGAGCTGGAGAACACACAAGCGGCAAAGGGCCAGAGGTCTTCGTTCCACCCGTCACTTGCGCCGCATGACATCCACAGCGGTACTTTGGGCAAGCGTCGCAGAAAGAAGGGCCAGGGCTATGCTCGCCGTTTCTTTTCTCTCGACTTTACCTCTGGAACTCTGTCCTACTACCGCAACAGCCGTTCTTCGGCTCTGCGCGGTGCTGTGCCTTTGTCTCTGGTCGCTGTCGGTGCTGACTCCAAGACTCGCGAGTTCTCTGTCGACTCGGGCGCCGAGGTCTGGCATCTCAGAGCTAGTAACCAAAAGGACTTTGAGGAGTGGAGGGAGGCTCTTGAACGTGCTTCGGCTACTGCTGTTTCTGGTCCTTCGACCCCGGCTGTCTTTACGCAGAACAGAAGCCCTTTCCCGGGCGCTTCAGATGCTATCACATCAATCGAATGGGAACGCGCAGAAGAGATTGTGAGCAGAATTTCTGGTTCTCGTGATGCTCTCCGCAGACTTGCTCAGGACACGGATGTCAAGATCTCGCCTTCTGTCGCCGCCGCCTCACCAAGTGCCTCATCCGTGGAATCTTTCGCAAACCCATTCTTCGCGGATGCCGACACTGCTTCTGTCAGCGCATCTTCTGAACGACTGCCATTCTGGAAACGCAAGCCTAGTGCGGCTAGCAAGGAGGCTCCTGGGTTCAAGCGCAAGACGTCGGGCCAACAGCTCGAAGTCCCTAATGGTTCTGCACCCAGCTCTCATCCGACATCCCCACTGCCGAACTACTCGAACAAACAACCTCTCACCGCTTCAATTACCATGCAGGAGACTCACGAACGATGCTTGGCTCTTCTGCGCGATCTGGACAATGTCGTGAATGACTTTTCTGCTCTGCTGGCAGAGTCAAAAGCACGTCGCATGCCCATCAACCCAAATCTGCTTGCCCCGGCCGCTTCTCGCTTGTCCATCGACTCGGTGTCTTCGCAAGAATTTTTCGATGCCGAAGATGTGCCTTCTCAACTCTTGTCAATCAGAAGATCTAGTGAGGCTACTCGGGAAGACGATGATCAGGACTTCCAAGACATTACCTCTAATGGAGGAGATTCCGACACCAGCAGTGATGCAGGAGATGCTACAGAGATCTCGAATGACGCAAGTACCGCGCCTGGCCAGACTTCTCTCTTCCCTGCCAAACCCGCACCATTGACTTCTCCACTACCGAAGGTCACCTACCGCACAACTATAACACCACCCAAACAGCCTCCTCCCTCACTCATCGGATTCCTGAGGAAGAATGCCGGCAAGGACCTCAGTACCGTTAGCATGCCAGTCACTGCGAACGAACCACTTTCGGCCTTGCAGCGTCTCGCGGAACCTTTCGAGTCTGTCGATCTCCTACACAAAGCTTCCTCAGTATCATCACCAGACGAAGCTCTGGATCGACTGATCTATGTTGCAGCATTCGCAATCTCTAACTTTGCCAGCAATCGTGTCAAGGAAAGAGCCATCCGCAAACCATTCAATCCTATGCTTGGCGAGACCTACGAACTCATCCGTTCAGACCTTGGCTTCCGCTTTGTGTCGGAGAAGGTGTGCCATCGACCTGTTCGTATGGCCTTCCAAGCCGACGCTTTGGACTCAGCATGGTCATTGTCTCAGTCTCAGCAGCCAACGCAGAAATTCTGGGGTAAGAGTGCAGAACTCAACACAGAAGGCAAGATGAGGCTGGTCCTACACAACGTGAATGGCGAAAAGTACTCTTGGACCTTGGCAACATGTTTCCTCCGCAATGTGATCGCAGGCGAGAAATACGTCGAACCTGTCGAAAGCATGACAATCGTCAACGAGACCAATGGATCAAAGGCAGTCGCCACCTTCAAAGCTGGTGGCATCTTCTCTGGCCGCAGCGAGGAAGTAACAACGCAATTCTACAATGCCTCTTCATCGTCGCCCCTGGGCGCCACTCTTTCAGGCAAATGGACAGAATCACTCTCCCGCACAGACACTGGCGAAATCATCTGGACAGCAGGCCCCCTCGTACCGAACGCACCCAAAGTGTACGGCTATACTTCCTTTGCCGCCTGTCTCAATCAAATCGACGAGGCAGACAAGAACGCAATCTCGCCCACCGACTCACGCCTACGACCCGATCAACGCGCTCTTGAAGACGGCAAGACCGATGAAGCGGAAGCACTCAAAGCCAGACTTGAAGAGCGACAAAGAGCGAGAAGAAAGGTTTTGGAGAGCCATGGCGTGGAGTGGAAACCAAAGTTCTTTGAGATGGTCAAGGGAGAAGAGGGAGATGAGGAAGTTTGGAGGTTGTGTGGTGGCAAGGGCGGATATTGGGAGCGTAGGGACAAGGGCGATTGGAAGGATGTGGAGACTGTTTTTGAGATTTGAGTGTGCCATATGCAGGAACAAAGCTGTGCGTTGGACATCTGGGATTGGTGTATGTAGGGCGGAGCTGCAAGCAAGCTTGTCGTTTGTTTGGGCTTGCTCTGAGCTTCTGGATGAAAGAGAGGAAGACAATCAAACAACATCCATCTATCATTTTCTTCTTCCACCCTTTTTTCAATCTCTTGCTTGTCGTGCTGATATAGGATTTGCATTGCTTTCACCCTTCTAGAGCTGTGAGAGGTCAGGAGCTGGAATATAAGAACATTGTCTCTGCTGGACTTTTGCTTTCACCATTTCATCTTCCAAGTTCGTCTTTTGTGGTCATGTGTATATGAGGGTGGTGCTCTGCCCCCTCCACTTTTTGGCATCAGTTGTTTCGACATCTTGGACGCCAATCTGACTCTCTTTCCTGTCAAATGTATATCTGGAAATGACCCTCCTCCACTCCATTGCTGTGTTGGATCCCTCGTCTTCTACGAAGTTCACCTGCGATTATGAAACAGCTTACGTCGCCAACGACGACAACGAGGTCATGCACCATGCTATTCTGTCGACAATAAAGCGTGGTCAGTATTGCGCCAATTGATCCCAGTATCTTTTCGTCGCTTTAGCCTTGAGTCCGTTCGCCAGATCTTCGCTAATGGATCAAAGCACTTCCTCTGCCATGCTCTTTAGGCCGGTTGACGGTAAGATCTCTGGCGGTAAAGATGGCGAAGATGCTAGGTTGCTAGCACGCGCCAGACGTACTTTGACTCTGGGCCTCTGCCTCAGTTTGCATCGGCACAACTACCTCCGCAACCTGAGCCAAAGCTGCCAGAAGTCAGGCAGTCGATATCTCCAGTATCGCTCGACAATGGATATACTACCGGAAGCCCACTTCGAGCAACTTCATCTCTATTCTTCGATGGTATATATGTTTCTGGAGTCCTGATTTCGCGCCGCTTCGCTTGTGAGAAAAGAGATTTGAGTGAGGAGACACCTTCAGTCGTTCAGACGCCAGGCCATGTATCCTGCCGTGGACTCTACCACACATCAAGACTTATTTCCAGGACTGGTCTTCAAGATTGATTCCAAGTACACTTTACAAGAAGCTCACAGCTAAATCGCCCTTTCTTTACGAACGCCAGATCTACTACACCAGTAGTCCGTGGTCATGGTTCCCTTCCTGTCTCTCCTGAGATCAGCTTGTCGTTGCGTACAACGGAACTCACCACTGAGCTCTGACTTAATCAAGCCACAGAGCTTGAAGCTGCCGATGGTTTGATCGAGTTTATCACCGTCCAATATATAGTTGTGAGCAGCAGCCAGGAGCAAGAAAGATGCTGATCTCCCTCTTACCGGCCTTGTTTCTATCTCTCATCTCTATGTATAAGTCCGGCGATCTTACCTACGGCATCAGACAAGTAGAGTGACTCCGTCGATCGCTCAGCTGCCGCCATGGAACGACCATCTGTCCTGGCTGCCCATGTCAATAAGCCGCCAACCAAGCAGAGCGCCACAAGGTAGCAGTAACAGGAATAGCTCCCCAAGCTCGACAACTCAGTCAAGACGAGAACATCGATATCATGTCTATATTCCTGCTCTGGACAAGTTTTTGTATACCGGTGCGTTACTTCACCCTGCCTTTCATCCTTCCGAAGGCTTGTCAAGCATTCCAACCGTTGTTGAGAAACCCAGATGAGTCCCCAGCAATGGCTCCTCCACTCCACGGTCTAGTCATCTGTCTTTTACTTGCAACAATCTATAGCGAAGCTTTGAGGAACGAACTCGCCTCATGAACAAGATGAGGGCAGTCATCCCTCCTTTCGACGCCGCCCGGGATTTCTTAAGATCGACTCCGTCGAACGCCGCAGAGGACCCAAGCAGACGACAGATCCCACACCAACAACACCTTAAGCAGCACCATGCCAGGCGTCAACGCCATGACTAGGCCTCTGAATGAAGGCCAAAAAGTTGCCAAACCCTGATGGGAGATCCTTTGGCCAGTGATAACGAGGAGGCACACGACGCATACATGAACGACTTTCTCTTATACGCCAACAACATCACCGGCTCTCAACCTTCTGTCATGAACGACACCACTAGCCCCAACGACACTAATTCCTCTATGGACGAGATCACCAAGACTCATGATGATGATTGTCAGTCACTTAGCCCAAGACCGTGTGAACACCTTGAACCATACCACTCCCACCAACAATCTCGAAGCTCTTATGGAAGGAAATAAAAGCTCACAGCTACATATCTTCTGCTCTTGATATATAACTCACATGCCTCGAACAACTCGGGTTGCACCTCGCAGACTCCAAGCTCACTGGAAACGACAATCTTATTATGACAGCCTTTACAACTCTGCAGCATCTCGAGTTGACAGGCCGTCAGCAGAAAAGCCCTGGTCTAAAGGCTGTCTGGACCCATTACCCAAATTTTGGCAGGGTATCTGGTGCGCGAACGCCATTCCACTGCAAGCAGAAGATCGGTTGGCCGGCTAGATGGTCAGCGGAGGACTACCTCCTAACATGTTTCTTGATTCATATCCCAGAACACTTGAGCAAGAATAGGATTTGAAACCCATGTCTTACTATGGACTCAGAGTTTCTTCAAGCCCCACACCCGCCGTGCCTGAGCGCCAGAAGCTGGCTAAGGATCTTGAATGGAGGCATTATATCAGCACCACCATGAGGAAGCGCAATTCATGAAGATGATTCCGAAATTGATATAGACTACCCCCATCGAGAGTCGAACGCAAGCGCAGATTCAAGGACAGGTGTCATCAAGGCGACATATTATGCCAGGATAGGCATCTCGGTTCTTTTCTGACTCTCACTGCGTATGACTGCGGCTTCTGACTAACGACTCCTCGCCCCAGTGTGGAGGTGTCATGGTCCCACATCCCGCTTGGACTCCTAACCATCTTATAGTCGCTGTCGTCTATTGTGTCGAGCTCCATCGCAAGTGGCTCTGTCAAATCCTCTTCTGGTGTGTTAGGTGTCCGCACGTACGCATTTCCTCTGATCATTCTGTATGTGCCGTGACAGACACATCAAATGCGATGAGAGCAGGTCAGTCAGCGGAAACTTTGCTAAAGTTGGTAAGAAGTGTATCCAACCTCACGACCTTCCTCCGTAAGCAACAGTCCAGCTCCTACTGGCACTACCAATACCGACGCTTCGAACACAGAGACCATCAGTCCCCATGGTACTGAAACTCACGCTACCAACACCAACTCGGAATGTTCGCGCGCTGCCGATGATACTGATCCCAACTCCAATAAGCTTACCTCCTACATCTAGCATTATTCCAGGGTACCAATCCAAACAACACGGATAAGTTGACGGACATCCTCATGGTCTCGAGCAACACTATTGAGAGCCAAATTGCAAGAGAGCCATAAGAGTTATACAGATGACCTCGCCAGAGCATCAACAGTCTCCGGTCATCTTAGGTTTCCCAGAGGCGGCAAGGTTCGTCAAACGAGCGACTCCGTAAGGCTATTGGTCATGGTGCGTCTCAGTATCGTGTGTCACCTGCAAGCAGTTTGTTCATAGCTTTCGCTTCTTTATGATCCAACAGTATCTTCGCGGCTACAATTTGCTGCGACAGGCTCGGTCTACTGCATGCCAAACCTGATTATCAACATTTGTTCTACATTTATTACGTTCGTCTCTTTCGGACGAGGTATTACAAGGAGCACTCCAGATACAGCTCATGGTCGTTGACCATGTTGAAGACCGAGGTCTATTGAACCTGAGCGAATCGAACAGTAACATTTAGGTTCTCTTGCAACCCACTATTATCTTTATCTTCGGCACTGCTGGGACCTTCAATTCCGAGGCCTGCAACAGGATCCATTTTCCAGGACTGCTAGCAGCCCTTCTCATTAAACACCCATCGACTGCCTGCGATGTCGCCTATCTGGGACGTCATTCTCTTGGAAACCTTCTCCTATGTGGAGAAAACCCTTCTGTAGCCTTATCCCTTTTCACGCCTTCTTGTCGAGATTCGTGGCTTCATCATCGATCTCTACTTCGGGATATTTGCTCCATCTCCCAGTGGCAGTGGTGATACCACTGGCATACCAATCCCTGCAAGGAGGGCCTACAAGAATTGAGACGAGACCATCGAAGTATGTCGTCGATACACCAGTTCTATTACTGCAGTCATCTTGCCATCAGTATCACAAGGATACTGCCCCGTGCTGGCTACCGACGTTCAATTGTACCAGGTCGCTACGTCTTACTGTTTCCTACTGGTGCTATGCATGAGTGGTATGAGCCTGGGAAGCATCAGTTCTATAGCCCCTGGGACTGACGCCACCCATATCCAAATATTGGCAATTCACGTGCTTGCAACACTTCCCGCTACTACACGGCTGGCTCTAGCAATATCGATGCTTCTTTATCTCTATCTCCTCTCACTCTATATCATGGTGTCTCGTACCTTCGTTCATCTATCAAACCCTTATGAACACGAGTGATTCCAGAGAGAGTTGATTAAGAAAATTACTCGATCCCTGCAATCCTCCTACCAACACCCACAGCGCTCCTACCGGCCTCGTTATAGCTTCATCTATTGATAATGCGATACCGTGCAAGGCGTCAACACTATTACAGAGCGCTCGAGCGAGGACCAAGAAGCTGTCAACACCAACACAGAGGCCCGATATATCCCTGCCAAGGGCTTCATGTACACACTATCGGTCATCATCTCAGATCGTGGTACTTTATATGGATGACTACCGGTGTCAAATCGAGTCCGGTCCGTCGCCCTCGCCCTCGCAATGCTTGTGACTACTCAGGCCGCGTCAAGGCCAAGTACACTAAGGGGAGTCAGCCAGCAGGACAGAAATTCATTCTGCGAACTCGCAGTGGAACTTGCCATAACGCATGTTCCCGAATACAAATTTTGAGCTGCTCCGTGCTGGAAACAGAATCGAGTTTTTTGTTGTGAATTACGACTTCTGTGACAAGGCGGCGATGGAGATCGGCCGTATTGGTTGTAACATCACTAAACCATGGGACTCTGAGACAATATATTCAGAACCTATATACTGACCAAACAAGTCATGTGATACCATACGTGCCTATCAGAATTATCGCTTGTGTGCTTTTGCCGAGGGTAACATACCGCCGTCGTTTCCAGGCCCAATCCCAGAAGGGCGACAGCAGCGCTCAATTCAATGGTAGCAACACACAACGAACCAACATGGGTAGCTCGTCAAGGGCTATGGCCGTGGTATATGACGATGGAGCGGATGACGAGGAGGACATGAGCACATACACCTATGTGAGACCCAAGATGGGGGAAGGGTCAAGCAGGTCGATCAGCTTTAGCAGATTCACGAGCAGGGTGGCTAAGAAGTCAAGGAGGTCATACAAAGAGTTACAAGGGTGTTCATAAAGTCAAGAAAACTAACGACAACAAGGTCCCTCCCGAAGATATTACGAACAAACCAATACGAACATCATGCCTCTAGAGGAAGAGCAAAACGCCCTTGCCAGAAGCGTCTCTTATCTTGGAGCTATGACGCCCCGAGAAGGGATATGAAATTCCTGTACGAGGTTATCAGAATCATCACACAGGAAGACACCGACTCATTTCCCCAATACGACCCCAGTGTCACAACCACGAGGCAGATACAGCCTTTCCACTCTCTAGCAGACGTATATACTCTTGCTCGTGTCAACTGTCGTTAGGGCAATGACAGAACGAAGAGCTGCCTGTTCCACAACTCACACACTAACGACGAGTCCGGTGCCGAGAACACCGAGATCATCTCGTGATGCTACACCAGCCCAGTCCTGACGACCCAGTGCAAATCAAGCTTACGGATCCTCTAGAAGACTTCAAGCACGGTCTGCAACACCAAGCAACACCGTCAAGCTGTCAAGTTAAACTAGTTGAGGAGGTGAGGAATTCGCCTCGTCCCTGCTGGTTCTTGATCCTTGGCGCTGCGTGCAGATGCGGAAGTCTTCTTTCTGCGCATGACACCCACACTTTCCCTTCCTCTGCGTCACACCACCTCATAGAACAAACTACCAGACAGAAATTATGAGGCACTCGAGCGGCAGTCACCTTTTCGGACGGGCTGTAATGCAAACCATAGATTCTATTAGCTAGGTCTGCCTCCACACCAAAAATGCAAGTGGATTAGGGCCCGATTTTCCGCTCTATGGTGGGGCAGATTTGCAGTAAGAAGATGACTTCTCCCATAAATTTCATTCATCTGTACTTGCGTCTTTGTGCCATAGGGGATCGAAGTCGTCGATAGACATAGACCGCTCGTTATACTCGACAATACCAGCACGGCCCATGACTTGCTGCCAGCAAAGCTTCAACTCCTCGCTCATGCGCCATGAGCTGGCTACCCGCCAGTATAATCGATGTTTGTTGATATGGAGAGCATCGTCTGGGTATTCCTCGAGGGGAGGAACGAAGGTAGATCCGCATACATCGTAGAGCTCAGGACACCTTTCATAGGGCGCGAGATATTGAAACTCGAATCTTCGTTTGCCGGCACACAATTCCATATTGCAACCTCCCCGGAATGACTTCAACTCAGGCATTTGTGCGGCTGCACGCGCCATGTCGAGAAGTAACGCATCTCCCTTTTGTGATGGCAGGATTCGGAATAGAAAGGGAGTTTCTTCGTCCTCGGGCTCGTAGCCCAGATCGCTGTAGTCTAGGACCACTTCCTCGCCCAACTCTAGCTCGTGTTGTGGACGAAGGTCTTGCTCAAAATCAAAGTCTCTTGCCAAGGCTTCTTGCCTGGCGAACATATCATGCACTCTCCGGCGGCGTGGTCCGAGATCATTCATCTGTTCTCCAGTATCCAGGGCGATGGGAATCTCAGGGTGACCATCGAAGAACCAACCACCATCAGCAGCCATCGAGCTGAAGGTTATGTCGACGCGGGTGAGTGTATGCCACCAGGGGGTTGTATCGTTCAGTGTTTGATCTGATCGAAAGAGTTGTAATGACAAGGTGATATCATCGAGAGTCAATGATTTAACCTTGCATGTTCTCACGAGCTCCTGTAGCGACAGGCTCAAACGATCCGTGTGCGAGGATGGTAGCAGGGTACTAGGGGTGTTTGTAAGCTCGTCCCACAGGGTTGTAGCGTGGAATTCGAGCTCAAAATCTTGTAGGGTCGAGCAAGAGCTCGCCAGAGATGACAGTTGTTTCGCAAGGTCTGGTCAATTGGTCTCAGTACAGGGAACACAGGACGATATGATAGAGGCGTCATGCAGAGAACTATGGATTTACATACCGTAACGTTTCTTGCGGCGCTCCACAGGGTTGATGCTGGGATATGAGTCATTGACCCTCAGAGCGAATCCTTGCAGGGCTGGCAATCCAGAAGCAATCGAGATGAACAGTGCGGGCGAACAGAGCATCTCACCTGAGCATCTGAGCCGCTTGATGGCTTGACTCTTAGGTACCGCTTCTGGGGCCACAAGATAATATGTGGTGCGCGTGGGCACATGTATCTCAAGATCGAACGAGGGTCTCACCGACCATCCGCCAACAATGTCGTACAGACGTTTGAGTCTGGACAGGACGATTTCGGTATTGTACTGGAGTTCTGCGTTGCGTTCATTCGAAGAGCACGCATTCCATTTCTTGTCGATAGAAGAGCACCACTTCCAGTCGTCCCAGAATGGAGGCAGACGTTGTATAAAATATCGCAGTCGCTTCAAAGCAGATACCCGTGTGGGTTCTCTTATTGTATCATCAGAAGTTTGCGCAAATTCCTCTATAAGCTCAGGCCCGAAGAATTGTAGTCTAGAGAAGGTCCGGCGCTCGACTGCTCGCTGCCATTGTCGAGAGATAAGGGCGATGGAAGCGAGCCCGCCTTTCCGACCTTCGCGCGTTCGGTCAGGTAGAAACTCGACTATGTGACTAATTATCTCTGGTGGCAGTTGGTCCATTTCGTCAGGCGAGTTTCAAGAAGTTGTATAACAATAAAGAAGAAATAATGGGACTAGGCTATATGTAATCTCGCATGAACTTCGGATGCACCATAGAATGACTCATGGCCAGCATTACGACTCGAGGATTATTGGGTATGTGATTGCCTAAGTAGGTAGGCATCGACCATACACTGATCAAATTCAGCTTAAAGACAAGTGCCCCCTAAGCGTCCTATCAGCCAGGAAAAACATGCACGAAGACCAAAAGTCCAATCAGACTCGGTCTTCTTCGGAAAATGCTTAAGACTCATATAATCACGCGCATCTGACCTATCTCCTCACAACACACTGGTCACCCTTCTTTCTATCAACATTTCCCTTTTCCGTGTCTCGTCTGTCACTTCCTTCGATGAATCCCTCATCGTATCTCACCACATATGCATATACGGAACCGCATCTACCAAGAGATCAGACCTCTCTGCTTCTTGCACGATACTTTCTAACTCCCAAGGCATTACCTACATCGACCAAAAGTTCGCGCACAAGCTCAATCTTCAACTCACGCCGCCGCTCTTTGCAGACCCGCCTTATCTGAGAGGACCACGAGCGAGACCATATCTGCTCAGTCAACAAAAACCCATGGAAACATGTTTCTCCAATCTCTCCAGGTACGAACATCCAAACTGCAACTCCCCTCAAACGACGGTCTGAAAAAACACTCGATCTTGACAATGTTATCTGAATGCATTTCTCACGATGGTGGAACCACTACACAGCATCTAGTAAACAAGATATCAACATTCATAGCAAAGGTCAAAGCACTCATAAGCAGATCAATCTTCATACCAAAACATTACCGGGATAAAGCAAGAAAACCAGCTTGCAATCACCAAGACCTCACTCAAACGTCTCCACAAGCGAACAACACGGCTTTGCAAACAAAGTGTTCTGCCCTTGAGAAAGCTGACGAGTATCGTCTTGCTATAACCGAGAAAGTCAACAACCGAGATACTCATCTTGAAAAGATTATCCAGCAGCAATGCCTTTGGAACACATCAGCAGCAAAGGCGGGTAGGAAGGTGGAAGTCACTGCATAGAGATGGGCACAGCACTCTTGGATGGACACATACTACCATAACTTGTGTTTGGGAGATTTCTAAATGCCAGAGCTTTGTTGCTGACAAGTACTCGCAAGAAAATCTTTGATGGGCTAAAGATGGTTTCGTAGACTCTCATCTTCGCTGATTTGGTTGCTGAGATGTGGCGCAATCATATTTCGAAGTGGTGGACTGTCAAGCGAGATGTTTGCCTTGATCTAGAGGAGACAAGATGACGAAAAGTAGAAAGACGCCAGACAATCAATCAGTACATTACACAAAACGCCTCCTCAATAAACTCTCGCATCAACCTCGATCACACATGACGTTCAAACGGAATGAATACTCATAAACCCTATAAAACTCCCTTTCTCTTCTCATCTCAACATCATCAATGCTTCTCCTCAGCCTTATACCCACTCTCGCCAGGACGATCAATAGCTTTGAACTGATCTTCCGTGACACCTTTACCCATGGCGGCAGTACTGGACACACCGCCACTAACCATCTTGAGCAGCTCATCTACATAGTTGGCGCCAGACCATTTCTGGTGCTTGAGGACTTCTACGCCGTTCTGTGAGGAGCGTTAGTACCCAATCGAGGAATAAGAGAAGGGTTTGAAGGGCTTGTAACTTACCGCAGCTTCCTTGCTCTGGATGGTTTCTCCATATGCACGCATTCCCCTAGCCGCATAATCTTTACTGAACGAGTCGGAGATCAAGGCAGTTTGATGTAAACCAGCGAGCGTGATGAACTGCCAACAGTAACCAAGCTTTGCAAGTCTCTTGATATAAGTCTCTTGGTCGGAGGTGCTCATGGCGGTTTGCCAGTTGAACGACGGACTGAGGTTATAGGCAAGTTTTTGCTCTGGCCATACTGCATGCACACCGTTCGCAAATTCTTCGGCTTGGGCGTAGTCGGGGAGTTTGGACTCCATCCAGATCATATCGCAGTAGGGTGCGTAGGCAATGGCGCGGTTGACAGCGCATTGGCAGCCGCCACGGTAGCGGTAGTAGCCTTCGCGTGTGCGGGCAGACTCCCAGTCAAAGTGGACGTCGACGCCGGTGAGGGCTTTGGCGATGGCGCGCGACTCTGCGTTGGACTTGCCTTTGGCCTGTTCGGTGTATTGAGCGATCAACTCGGCCTTGTTGACATGGACACCGGCGTTGATGGTGTCGACGACGGCTTCGGAGAAGAGTTTGAGGTGTGCTTGCTCGGTCCAGGCGTCTTCGATGGCTTGGAGCTCGTCGCCAGTTTTGCCTGCTGCTTCGGCGGCGCCCATGAGTTCGCTGAGGGGTTGGAGGGCAGGGTTTGTGGCGCCGACGATGAAGGCGTGGTCGCGGGGGTCGATGGTGGAGGTGATGAGGGTGGCGGCTTCAGAGTCTGTACGGGCGACGGCGAGGAGATCGCTACCCATGATATCTGCTTGGGCGCGAATGGCGACGAGACGGTTGATGTGCTCGCTGATGGGGACGAGCACTTTGCCGGCCATGTGTCCGCACTTCTTTGTGCCGGGGGCTTGGTCTTCAATGTGGATGCCGGCGGCACCTTTCTCAACAAACAGTTTTGTGAGCTTCATGATTGCTGTTAGACCACCGTGACCAGTATCGGCGTCGGCAACGATTGGACGTAGGAAATCGGTATTGGCAAGGTTCTTGCGTTCGGAAGCGGGGGTTGAGAGCCTTTCGTGGCGCTGCTTGCGATCGTGGAACAGCTGAGCCATGAAGAGGTGTTGGACCTTGTCTGGGACGGTCGTGTAGGGGTAGTCTGCAAGATCTGGGCCGGGTTCGTCGGTTGAAGATGCTGTTGAAGAACTTTGCCAGCCTGATACATAGACTGTGTCGAGGTACTTCGCCATTTGAGTGACCATGACGGGGTCGAGGCAGCCGTAGGTGAAGCTAGCATCTTTCGCCTGTTGCGTTGCATCAGAGTTGAGTTCTTCGAGAGCAGTCAAACCTGACTTACGNGCAAATCTCTTCTCGACAATGTCCCACAGCTTCTTTGAGAGGACATTGCCAGGATGTTGAATCGTCAAGTTTCCACGCTTGTTTGCAATCTGCTCGGCAGTAAACGGACGCTTGGTGTATCTCCAACGAGGTGATGTCCACCATTGCTTGATGGCAGCAACCTCATCCTGGAATTGCTGCTCTTCAGCATCGAGAGATTGGGAAGACATGGTTGGAAGAACCTCCTTGACGTGGCCCAAGATACTCTTGAGTCTTTCTGCCAGCTTGGCGGTGATGTGATAGAGGACTGGAGAGGCTTGTGATGAAAGTCGAAGACTGAATTGAGAGGTATGTCTTGTGGAGAGTCACGAGCGACGCGAGACAAAGAGGGTACAGAAATAACAGAAAATTCATAAAGGTGGGGAGACGAGAGCTCATATATAGCTCCTACTACGACTCGAGAGTTTCATATGACTTACCGGTACTCGATGAGAGCAGACAGCGTCACAGGCCAATAGGAAACATGGCCGGGGCCAATCGGATCAGTGGCTACGATGGTAAACTCAGAGCTCGAACGCACAAAGAAGATGTTGGACCTCGGTGACAGGTCCCTACCTGTGATTTTGGCCATGACGAGGCACCGAACGGTTGCGACTCGACGTTGACTCCCTTCATCCGAGGCTTTGAAGAAAGCAAAATGACAAGGCCAAGCGTCTGGGGAAAGCACATGAAAGTCGCAAAGTCCGGGGAACTTGTCGCCGAACGTTTTCCGAGGTATCAACGACCATCGGTCTCTTGACGTGATTTCTGGACCTAACTTCAGGTGTCAAGTTTGCTGTGAGTAGCTAGGCCAGGAAAAACATGATGTATCCTTCCAGCGTTGGACTCTTCTGACCTGAGATATACCACTGGGGAGAATCTCTCGCTGTTCGCGCGAAGACGTTCTGTTTGTCAGCCTCGACGTTTTGTAAGAGGTTCCAGATTGCAGCATGTTCTCGACCGAGGCTGTTTGTTCATCCAACGTCTGACACTCGGACAAGTACCGCGAGCACCCTGGTGCGCGTGTATCTGTTTGACTCATTCACGAGTTCTTTTCGGAAGATACTCGGTCAACGCCAAAAGTCGCCGGTCGTCGTGATGGACGTGTACACTGAACAAGACGAATCAGGTATGCCGATATATACAATTATCTCGTTGAACGAAATCAGATCTTGGAGGTTCTGGTGCCCGCCTTCAAGCTAGCCTCGCCAGCGAGGTTCTCAGAGATAAAGCGCACAGCTTCGACTTTCATCTTCGCGCTGTATTCGTGACCCGCCGTCTCATCGACTATGTCTTCAAGGACAATTCCCTGGTCATTGAACCAACCATTTTCCTTGTCGAGTCCGCTCTTCAGCCATTCCAAGAAAGGTGCACTGCAAGTATACGGTACTAGCTTGTCCTTGCCGCCAGAAAGACACAAGATGTGCTTGCCTCCTAACTTTTCCTTGATCAAAGGTCGCAAAGTCCTCCTCTGTTCTTCGGTCGGGTGTAGCTTGTCCCCCACCAAGAAAGACTTGGGATCCCACTTGTCAGTCGCATCGCACAAGCCCTTGGGATAGTCTGTCGAGCCAAGGAAACCCTTGCCTTCTGAAGCTGTCCAAGTCGAAAGTTTGGACTTCTTCGCGCGATCAGTCATGAGAAACTTGTAATCTGGACAGCCAATGACTACGACGGCAGTGGTGATGCGAGGGTCGTGCAAGATGCATTGCCATGTTGAGTGGCCACCGAGCGAGATGCCAAGGACGAGATGCTTTGTGATGGTTCGTGAAGAGTCTGGGAAGACATAGGAGGACAAGAAGTCAATCAACATGGATGTATCTTGAGCCGTGCCGTCTGTTCAAGTTATGGTTAGACCCGCCATGCGAAAGAGCAGAAGTCTGGTGGACGAACGGAAGATGGAGAACATGTCTTGCGCATGTGTTGGATTGCCCTTCTTCCAACTCTCGTTCGCCAACGAGTTGACCTCTCGCGTGCCGTGATTACGCTGATCAAAAGAGACAGCAATCAGGCCCTTGGACTTGGAGGCTGATCGTCCTGTCCAGTCATGGATTGAGGCAGCGGCAATTGGTGCCATGATTGACTGCACCTGGAGTCGCGGGTGGAGAAGCCATAATACTGCCACTTCCTCTACCGATGAAGCAAGCTCGTCGAGTCCGTAGACGGTCGTCTGCACGCCGGCGATTGTGTACGTCTTGGACGAGACGGGTGCGGGGTCAGATTGACCTGCTAGAGGATTGGGAGTGTCCATTGTGTATCCTTCTACAGAGGGAGCAATTGCACTCGTCGACAGGCAGTACTACAAGGCAGGAGTGACCTGGACAAGAAACTTGTTGATGCTGCAGCCGCGGTAGATTCGGGCGGGGATAATTTTGCCTATCACCGTGACAGCACCCGTGTCACCTCGGGGCACGGTCGCGTTCGCCGGGAAGGAGCTTCAAGCTGTGTCTAATTGCTTGCCGTCATACAAATCCACCCATCCTGTCGGTTCCCATCGTGCCAGGCCGCCGCCTTGCAAATAGCCGGCGGAAGAAAGTAACGTATACGGCTGCACTTGACATGCTTCGAGGACAGCAATTCGACCGAGCGTGTCGCAAAGACGTGACGGCAATGACACAGATGCCATCGTTATCAGCCGGCATCGGCCTGGTCCCAAATTCTGCGGGGTTGCTGCGCGATGACTGGTGAATTATTTCAACACCAGAGAGGAGTCTCCTTCTTCACAAGCTGCTCCTTCCCTTTTTCCCGAGGTATCTTTTTTGCTTTCCTGCCTTTTCCGTACCAGCGATCATGAGCGCCTCTTTCCGTCCTGCTGCTGCCCGTAGCCTCTTCCAACACTCGTCCACTGCCGCCGTGCGACCTCAATTCATTTCCAGACCCGCTTTTGCTGCCATTGAGCAAAGACGAAGGATGGCTGCATTCAACAAGATTAAGGTCAAGAACCCCGTCGTCGAGCTGGACGGCGACGAGATGACGCGTATCATCTGGCAAGACATCAAGGACAAGTTCATCCACCCTTATCTGGACATCGATCTCAAGTACTACGATCTCGGTCTTCCCTACAGAGATGAGACCAACGACCAGGTTACCATTGACGCTGCCGAGGCCATCAAGAAGTACTCGGTCGGTGTCAAGTGCGCGACCATCACCCCTGACGAGGCCCGTGTCAAGGAGTTCAACCTGAAGAAGAGTGAGTAGCTATAGTCTTACCCCCAACAGCGCAATTCTGACATTCTCANNGTGTGGCTGTCTCCCAACGGCACCATCAGAAACGCCCTCGGCGGCACCGTCTTCCGTGAGCCCATTGTCATTCCTCGCATTCCTCGTCTCGTACCTGGCTGGAAGAAGCCCATCATCATCGGTCGTCACGCTTTCGGCGACCAATACCGCGCCAAGGACCTTGTCATCAAGGGCGAGGGCACTCTCAAGATGGTCTTTACGCCCAAGGGTGGCGAGCCCGAGGAGATTGAGGTCTTCAACTTCCAGAAGCACCACGAGGGAGGTGTCGCTCAGACCCAGTACAACACGGCAGAGAGCATTGCTGGATTCGCACACGCTAGTTTCAAGCTCGCCATTGACAAGAAGCTGCCTCTGTACATGAGCACAAAGAACACGATTCTCAAGAAGTACGATGGAAGGTTCAAGGACATTTTCGAGGAGATTTACCAGAAGGAGTACAAGGCCGACTTTGAGAAGGCTGGCATCTGGTACGAGCACCGTCTGATCGACGACATGGTCGCACAGATGATCAAGAGCGAGGGTGGTTACATTATGGCCTTGAAGAGTGAGTATTCATGACTTTGCCTCGACAATGAAAAACCAAACTAACAGCAAGCAGACTACGACGGTGATGTCCAGTCCGACATTGTCGCTCAAGGTTTCGGCAGTCTGGGTCTGATGACTTCGGTTCTGATCACGCCTGATGGCAAGACATTCGAGTCCGAGGCCGCCCACGGCACTGTCACTCGTCACTTCCGCGAGCACCAGAAGGGCAACGCCACTTCGACCAACCCCATCGCTTCCATCTTTGCTTGGACGCGTGGTCTTGCCAAGCGTGGTGAGCTCGACAAGACTCCCGAGGTCGTCAAGTTTGCCGAGTCGCTCGAGGAGGCCTGCATCCACGTCGTCAACGAGCAGGGCATCATGACCAAGGATCTTGCTCTTGCATGCGGAAAGAAGGGCAAGGACGACTATGTCACCACCGGAGCATACCTCGACGCGGTTGAGAAGCGCATGAAGACTGTGCTCCAGGCCAAGCTGTAGATGTAATTTGCATTTGTTGCGATCATGAAGATTTGATAGAGATACCAGGATGATGAATCAATGTTTGCCATGTACAAGACACCGAGATGGTCCCACAAACGTGATCAGTGAGCAGCTGAAAGCAAGGCTGAGCGATTTGTACCACTACCACAAGCGAGCATGCGAGGCCGAGTTATTGGCCAGCGGTGAACGAGCACGGCGCGGGGTACAGAGCAAGTAGACTGGTATAGCTGGCCAGGCATATATAGTGGGCATGTCCTCGATTGATCGTACTTAGTTGTCACCATCGGAATACAAGGTAAAAAGCAGACCAAAGCCTTTGCGGCGGCATAAAAGTCGACAACAAAAAGATGTAGAGCTGTAGGAAAGCAAAGCACTTGGGTCATGCGACAGAAGCAGCGGTGAGCATAGGTACAGATAAGGTCAGCCAAGCCGCGTCCCTCGAGGCTTCCTTTTCGAGTCCAAGACGACAAGTGAGAAAGTCGATTTCGTCTGTTTTATTTAACACTCTTGGTCTCAATCTTTGATAGAGTCGGACTCGCAGCATTGACCATCTTCAGGAAAAGGTGAGTGACGTCGCAGCTTCCCCAGAATTGAACGTCAACGGTCCTGCTCTTGGTCACGTCAAGGCTTCCTGCTTTGAAAGCGCTGAGCTGAGAGATCTACGTATAGAGGTGGGTACTGCTGCTTAGAGGCGTTTTTCCAACACCCTCTCGCGACTGCCGCGCTGTTTCCTCGTCTGCTCATCATCTTACTCAGACATCTCAATTGACGTCGAGAGCTGATTTACCTCGACTCAACAGCCCTATCACCACATCCCGCATCTGCCCCTCGACAGCTGCGTATTTGTACAAATCATCACTTCTTTCCTTCAATCCATACGACCATTCCTCAGACCTAGACCCCGATGAGCTCGACACCAGCCCATGGCGGCGACAAGGCCACTCCCAGCAATGGCGAACCGTCGGTCAGACAGCGTGTAGGCTCACTGGCCGCCGTCAATGCCGACTCTCTGTCCCAGCATAGCTTGAAGGCCCCGACAGTCAAGCCTGCCGCTGGCACCTCGTCGCAGCAGCTTCCCCTCCACCCGCGCAAGTCGTCGGGCGCCGCTCCAGATCTCGACCCTTACTCGGCTTCGCACATCTACTATGGCGCCTCGCACAACAAGAGAAACGTCGCCAAGGCTCGCACCTACTCGGCCGTGAGTGCCATCCCTACACCTGTACTAGGCTGCTTGTCCTAACCTCTCGCAGNNGTTGACCCCGGTGCTCGCGCAACCCTTGCCCAGCAGATGGAAAACACGACCCAGCGCCGCTTGAGTCACGGTAAGACGGACGACCATTCTCTCTCAACCATCACGGAACTGACCGTGACAACCANNGACGAACAAGGAGACCAGCCCCGTCGCTACCTCATCAACGTCGCCGACACGCTCGAGGCCCTACTGCACCGTGAAGACTCGGACAACAACCAGCAAATCACCGTCGAGGACGTCGGTCCCAAGACGATTCAACTCGGCACTGCTGGCTCAGGAGGCTACAAGACATTCGACATTCGCGGCACATACATGCTTTCCAACCTGCTGCAGGAACTCACCTTGGCCAAGGAGCACGGTCGTAAGCAGATTGTCCTGGACGAGGCTCGTCTATCCGAGAATCCTGTCAGCCGCCTGTGCCGTCTTGTCAAGGATTTCTTCTGGCCCAACCTGACCCGCCGCATCGACGGTTCCAACATTGCTCAAGTCGGCAAGGACGCCAAAGACTGGACCGACAACCCTCGCCCTCGCATCTACGTCCCTCGTGGCGCTCCTGAACAACACCAATACTACAGCCGCATTGCCCGCGAACATCCTGATATGAACCTGGATGTCGTCTGGCTTGCCCAGCACCCTGATAACGAAGAGTACGTCCGTGACTTGAACGAAGCTCCCGGTCTTCTCGCTCTCGAGATGGAGAGAGTAGAGGACACCCCTGCAGGTGAGCCCGACTTCAAGGGTCTGCCCTTCATCGTGCCCGGTGGTCGCTTCAACGAGCTCTACGGCTGGGACAGTTACATGACTGCTCTCGGTCTTCTCATCCACGACCGTGAAGATCTCGCCAAGAACATGGTCAAGCACTTCTGCTTCGAGATCAAGCACTACGGCAAGATTCTCAACGCAAACAGATCTTACTACCTCTGCCGTACTCAGCCTCCCTTCCTGACCGATATGGCCCTCCGTGTCTTTGACCGCATCAAGGAGCAACCCGACGCACGCGAGTTCCTCAAGATCTCCATTCTCGCTGCCATTAAAGAGTATCACAGCGTTTGGACGGCTGCCCCTCGTTACGACCCCAAGACCGGACTCTCGTGCTACAGACCCGGCGGTATTGGTGTTCCGCCAGAGACTGAAGCCACTCACTTCGTCCACGTGCTTGAGCCTTACTGCAAGAAACACAACATGACGTTCAAGGAGTTCGTCCACGCCTACAACTATGGCCACGTTTACGAGCCCGAGCTCGACCAATACTTCCTCCACGACCGCGCTGTCCGTGAGTCAGGCCACGACACTTCTTACCGTCTTGAGGGCTCTGCTGCTCACCTTGCCACTGTCGATCTCAACTCGCTTCTCTACAAGTACGAGACTGACATCGCTCGCACCATTCGCAACTACTTTGGTGACAGCCTTGCTGTTCCTGCTGAGTTCTGTGTTGGTGACCAGAAGCCTGGCCATGTTGAGACGTCAGCTACCTGGGACCGTCGTGCCAAGCGTCGCAAGCAGACCATGGACAAGCTCATGTGGGACGAGGAGAAGGGCATGTTCTTCGACTACAACATCGTCAAGAACGAACACACAGGATACGAGTCCGCCACAACCTTCTGGGCAATGTGGGCTGGCGCTTGTACTCCCCGCCAAGCCGCTCTTCTTGTTGAAAAGGCTCTTCCTCTATTCGAAGAGCTCGGTGGTCTCGCCGCCGGAACTCAAAGATCCCGTGGTGAAGTCGGTCTCAGCCGTCCCAACCGACAATGGGACTACCCCTTCGGATGGGCACCTCAACAAATTCTTGCCTGGACTGGTTTGGTAAGATTTGGTTACGAGGATGAAGCCAAGAGATTGGCTTACCGCTGGGTATACATGGTCACCAAGGCTTTTGTCGATTTCAACGGTGTTGTCGTCGAAAAGTACGATGTCTGCCACCCTCAGCATCCTCACAAGGTTGCTGCCGAGTACGGTAACCAGGGTAGTGACTTCAAGGGTGTTGCCAAGGAAGNNGGTGAGTTTTTTCTTCAACTTTGGAATCACAAAGCAGATTGCTAACAATTCGCCAGATTCGGATGGGTCAACGCCAGTTACGTCTATGGTGTCGCTCTTCTTGATGCCCACATGCGCCGCGCAGTCGGTGCCTTGACTCCTTGGGAGACTTACCAGAAGGCCACTTCGCTGCATTGAACTTCTTGAGGATACTCAAATGTGACCTTGAGAAATTGCCCGACCAGCCACGATTGATGAAACTGAGATGTAGTCATATGCAAGAAAGAAAGCAGGAGCCACGCCGGGAGCAATGAAGGAAAATGGCGGGCATACATATTCATGCTTCAAAAAGCACTGCTGGATCTTTATACATACGAGAGCCAAATCCCGCAAGGGGTTTCCTGGGTATTATCGAGGAGATGATGCGGCAGGGTATGCATAGTTGGCACTTGGAGGAGGAGATGCACGCACTCGATACCTAGAATATCCACCTTTTATGCATCCGTGTTGAACCTAGCTTGTGGGGTTTCGGTGATTGTTGCATTGTCCTGGTTTCTGTGAAATCCTACAAGATCGGTCATCCTACAGCAGGGGTTGACACGACTTTGACTCGTGTGATCGAGTAGGATCAGGCTGACGTTTGCAACGACAGAAATTCACAAACGCATACTCGATAATCCTCGCTGACTGTCACTCAAGCACGGGCTGGATCTGCCTGTCTTGCTCCCAAATATTTACAAGATCACCACAAGTCATTAAGTAGACTCCCAATATGGAGGGCTGAGCAGCTATAGTGTCGTCGACGATGCTTCAACTGCTTGTATGCAGGAGCACCCTGGCGATATCTGGACCCTGAGCAAAGCGTTGCCGTCATAGCCGTGACTTCGGGGAGAAGCGCGGAATTTGAACCGCGAATGGTTTTGTAGTCTGTTCATCTGTCCTTTTTGATTATCACTATCAAATGGATGTCAATCAGAAGTTTATCCCGTCTCGTTCCTGTTATTGTTACCCAAGTGAGAAAGCAAAAAGGATCTGAAGAATTGCTGTCGACTTCAATCGAAGGCAGTATATTCTAGAGAAGTACTTGTCATTCGAAGGGAGCAGCGCATACGACAACGGCCCCGCATCCGTGTTTGGCCGCAATTTTTCGGGCAACTCTGCAACCTGTGTGGATTATCGTTTTCCGAATGACTGTTTTGAGATTTTTCTTTTCGACTCATTTTACCCTCACGTCGTTGTGTCTACACTCATTTTCTACTTGTGATACTCGGGCACACGCTGGATCTACTGGACTCGTCGAGAGCAATTGTATTTCTCGTGGAACTGGGCCTTTCAGGACATTGTTACGCGACAGACGACAGAGCTCCGACATCGCGACATAGGGACGCGGGAGCTGTATTAGGACTCTGAAACTACAAAAGAGTGAAAGCCAAGCTTGCTGGATATACTGGACTGGCATTGAGGAGAAAATCTGCAGGACTGGTCTGATTGCGATCGGAAGTCAATTGCACACATACAAGAAAGAGCAAGGGAGAACAAGAATACTTGCAGACCCTACAAAAGGAAGCACGACCACAAAAGAGAGAGGGATCAACCCCAGCTTGAACCATCACGATGGTCGAAGAACAAGAAAAACTCTCACCTCAGGGCTCAACACCATCCACCCACTCTCACACATCCGACACCGACTCGATACACGAAACCCAATCCATCCGCGATGGCCAACAAACCAACCGCCTCCACCTCGTCCGCAGCTATGCATCCGGCTACTCAGGCTTCGCCCCCGAAACCGAATACGCAGACATCAATCTCAAACACACCACCACAGGCGCAACCCTAGGCTCCGTCGCCACCAACGACCCAAACTTTGAAGTCGATTGGACAGACGACGACCCCGAAAACCCGCGCAATTGGAGTATGGCGTATAAAGCTTTTGTCGTGTTTGCCATGAGTTATTCGACTACGGTCACAGTGCTATTTTCGACCAGTTATACGGTTACGGTGGGGAAATTGGAGCAGGTGTTTGATGTGGGGCATTTGACTGCATTGCTCGGACTTACGACTTATTTGATTGGTATGGCTGCTGGATCCACGGTTCTTGCTCCTTTGTCGGAAATGTATGGACGTCGCCCGGTGTACATTTTCTCGACTGCGATTTTTGTGTTGCTGATTTTGCCGTGCGCGCTTGCTAAAAACATCGAGTCTCTACTCATTCCGAGATTCTTTGGTGCTTTTGCGGCGGCGAGTTTGGTTTCCAATGCTCCTGGATCGATCAACGATATTGTTGTTGAGGAGTACAGGGCTTTGGCGTTTAGCATCTGGGCTATTGGACCTTTGAACGGACCTGTCGTTGGTCCCATCATCGGTGGCTTTACGTACCAATACTTGGGTTGGCGATGGACCAATTGGCTCGTCATGATCCTCGCTGGTGTTGCGTTTGGATTTGTGGCCATCGTCAAGGAAACCTATGGACCTAGTTTGTTGCGCAAGAGGGCTGCGAAGTTGAGGGAAGAGACGGGGGATTCGAGGTGGTGGAGTAGGTTTGATGAGAAGAAGGAGTTTTGGCCGTTGCTCAAGGTCAATCTGAGTAGGCCTTTTGTGTTGATGGTCACGGAACCGATTTGGTGAGTTTTTCCTTTCTCTTATCTCTGTTCTCTGCTCTCTTTCCTCTTGTTCATCTTTTTGCCGTCCTTCTCTGCGGTCAAGGGCAGAAGATAGACATGAGCACTGTCTCTTCTGACTGCCGGATGCACTGAACACGCAACAAAAGACAAAACAAGCGATTACTAACCTGCTCTCCTCACAGCANTCTTCTGGGACGTCTACGTAGCAATCGTCTACGGCACACTCTACCTCTCCTTCGTGGCCTACCCAATCGTGTTCCAACACCAACGCGGCTGGTCGCCTGGTCTCGGTGGTCTCGCCTTTTGCGGCATCGGTATAGGAAACCTACTCACCATTGTCCTTGAACCACTCTGTCGACGCCTCATCAATTCGCACAAANAAGACCCAGAGACTGGAGATATACCTCCTGAAGCCATGGTTTCTGTAATTTGCATCGCTGCCGTGTCGCTGGCGGCAGGCGAACTCTGGTTTGCGTGGACGTGTACGCCCAATGTGCATTGGATTGTCCCCATCATCGCCGGTATTCCTTTCGGCGCCGGCAATGCTGGAGTTTTCATCTACAGCAACAATTACCTCGTCCACTCATACTCGGTATACGCAGCTTCTGCACTCGCTGGCAATGCAGTCTTGCGCTCCATCATGGGAGCCGTGTTGCCCCTCGCCGGACCAGCCATGTATGCCACCCTCGGCAGCAATTGGGCTGGCTGCACATTGGGTCTGGTGGAAATGGCCTGCGTCCCCATCCCCGTAGTATTCTACCTCTACGGCAAGAAAATCAGAGCCAAAAGTGCATTGATTAAATCCATGCAAGAAGACAAGAGGAGAGCGGATGAGAAGAAAGCCAAACATTTGAGGAAAATGGAAAAGGAAGCTATCAAGAGAGGAGATGCAGAAGCTAGTATCGGGGGGCCGGGCAAGGCGGGAGCGGCGGTGGCGGAAGAGAGGGATGTCGAGAAGGGCGATTGAGGGAGTTGGAGGGATATAGTGATTGGTACAAAGAAAAGATGTCGTCTACAGAGTACCAAACTCAAAATCTCAGTAATGCAGATGTGTTTCTTCGCGTCCACGTCACCGAACATCTGCTTCTGGCAAGGAGTCATATCACAAGGTTCCTGTTGCTGTTATGATGCCTGGAAAAGTATGATCGCTTTTCGTCCGGAGATGGTCTCCCGAGTCTATGTATGCACAGAATATCATGGTAGAGACTCCGCTGCACTTGAAAGCTGGGTGTATGACAGTGTGGTAACTTTGTATTCGGGGTACTGTCTTTCCAGAGGGGACTATATCTTTGGGAATGTCGATGAACAACATCAGTACAACACGCTCGTTCTGGAGCCGTATGGACGTGGAGGATCAAGCTTTGGCTGCAGCTGGTGCAACACGAAAGGTCTCTTGCACCAAAACAACACATACGGAGCTCTTCTTCAGTACCGCAAACGAATATTCCCCCTCCTACGAACAAAACAAACATCAACCATCAACTGCAAAGTATGTTTTCCATCCCAAGTGCACCGTGAACCCACCCAAGCATCTAACATCACTCTAAGCATCCTCACCATGGCAAACACTCCCCTCAACATCTTCTCTCGCCAACCCACCAAGATGACGAAACCCTCCTTTGCCGCCAATATCAACCAAGCCGCCGCACAACCCAAGCGCACCCAAGAGCAAGGTCTCAAGCATGTTCGCTCTGCCCTCTACAAGATGGATCAGCAGCTCTTCGATCAGAAGAAGCGCTCTGCTGCCCTCCTTAAGTCTATTCTGGAGATCAAGACTAGACTGCTTGCCAATGCTCGCAAGCGCAGAGAAAGTGCAGGCAGTGAGACTTTTTGATTAGGGTGGGTGTGTTCAGGATCTCGGAATGTGTTGGTCGATTGCTGATTTGGTGTAGCATGCTGTTGATCGCGTGGTCTTCGCGGGAAGCACAGGGAGAAGGAGCATGGTTGTTACGATGGGAGGATACTACGATTACATTATCGAATAACAAAAACCAAGATCTTGCTCTGTTATCTCCCGCGTCTTCAAATTCATGTTCTTTCTCTGGTCAAGCCTGTAAATCGTCAAAGCACTGTGCATTCCCATAGGTTTGAACTGGAACCTACGATCTCCCAGCGAGCATGAAGAGCATAAGAGACTTGTATCACTGTTTCGATAGTCTCCACTCACTGTTTGTTTTGAAACATTTGTAAACATAGTTCTCACCTCCGGCCATCACTTTCTCGAAGAAAAAAACAGCCTTGCCCCAATAATGTCTCTGTCCCATTTCCTTTCCATCGCATCTTTTCCCCCTGCCGCAATCACCAAACAGCAATTCCTTATACTCATTCTTCCAAGATCTTACTTGGGTGAGTGGCATTTTCGTTTTTGTGCAGACTCAGTTCTGATCATAAAAAGCAGAACTCAAATCGTCGAGGTTAGTGTGTCCTCTGAGAAGGATTTGCATGTTTCGGCGCGGTCTGCTGCGTCTTTGGTTAACTCATCCGCTGTGTTTCGCGCGAAAGCTGATATCGTTTTCTTTCTCGCAGTCAGATGTTGCTGCGCGCCGCGTTTGTCGAGGTTGTTTTTTCGGCAAACTTCGTGCCTGTGCCTACATCGAGACCAGGGCCTTCTAGGCCCCTCGCTTCCGCGCCGAATGTTCCTCTGTAAAATCCACTGAGAATATTGTTGCCATGTCGTTCCAACAAGATGCTGTTTCCATGCTCTGTAAGTACATCTCCTCTTTCCTGCTTCCCCACGTTCGTTCGACCGAATTCGTTGTTGAAAATGTTTGTCCAGAAGAGTTGACGACTACAATACTCATCGTGGTGGCTTTAATGGCTATGGCTCTCGCTAGCCCGCATGGTGGATTCTCCGTGGGCTTTCATGCCTGGAATATGGGTTTCTGGCGCTTCAACCAGCTTCAGACATTCAATCTGAAGAGAATCGGGGCAGGCAACAATCAACAGCTAGCCTCAGCCAGTTCCCATCAATGCCGCCGCTGCCTCTACGTCTGATGATGACCACTCACGTTCAGAGTTCTCTTCCTCCTGAATTGCCCGTCGTGATCGCAAGCAGTTCCTGACTGGATAGCCAGGAAACTTTCTTGATCTCATCAAGAACCCCAATCGTTGCCGTCTCTGCTGACAAGGATATATACCTCAACGCCCGATGGGTATCGCGGCAAGCGACTGAGATCAGACGGTACAACTTGACGATCTATCTGCCCAATGCAGAAGAGTGGTACTGGGTTGGACGTTCGGTAGACGAAGATCATGTCCTTGGTTCAGTGAGGAGTATATCTGCAATTTCCTATAAGCTGATATGAGAACGTGTGGACGATAAGAGGTGTTACCTCTTCTCGAGCGACAGCGAAAGTTCATGTCGGTATCAAAACGAGTTACAGATGTGGAATCGGTCAAGAAGTTGAATGGCTGTTTTCTGCGCACAAATGTTGGGAAGATGTTTTCTGTCATTCTCGATAGCATATTTGGTTGGAATGATAGGAGTGGAACCCTAATGATCAGTAGCTGGTCAGCTTACAAAACCCTCAAACCCTCAAACCCTCAATGTGGCATTCTATCGTCACTATAGAATCTGGAGATAGAATACTGAGGAAATTTGCTAGGGCGATGTTGTGAATTATGCCAGCGCTCAAGAAGACTATACCGTCCGTCATCCGTGCCAAATTCAAGCCTGTCTCCTGTTGCATCACTCCAGCCTGCCAGCGATCGTCTCTACCTACAATGGTCTCTGTTGCTTACTGTTCCACAGTATCATCGTGCGTTCTTGTTACTATGCCTCCTCGTTATGACCTCTGTTCAGCAGCAACCCAGTCGTCCTCCGGCCGATCTTTGTCTCCCATTTGCTCTGGGCATCCCTTCCGACATCCTTAGCCATGACGTGCATTGAGCCACGTCTGTCTCATGGCTGCGTCGTTGGCGGTGACGGAAGTAGCAAGATCCTTCACCTGGTCGATACACTTCTCGCCGCGAACGTCGAAAAGCCTCCAGGCCTCCAGGCACCGTTATGGCTACAAAGAATTCTTTGGAAGCCTTCCAGAAGCCACTGGTCATCCAAGTCTCCCTTTCGGTGTGGTAGTCATGATAGGCGAGGTTCGCGATGCGAATGTGATTCAGGTTCGGTAATTCTGATATGGCTTGGAGTAGAGCACTCCACCAAGCACCAGGATCATCGATGCTGTTGATGTGCCGGTTCTTTCTGTTGATTGCGATGTTTCGAGATTCGATGCTGCAAAGTGTATCATTGTTGTTGACAATCAAAGTCATAAGCTCTTCGGTGCTCGAGATAGTTGAGTTTGAGACTTGCAGCCTCGAGATTACAAAGCTCCCAAGCTCGGCAAGTACAATTAGCGGGATAGGCGAGTGTTCGTCGACGTCCACCAGGCGGAGTGTCTTGTGTTTAGCAAAATAGTAGACTTATCTGCCAGACTCGTACGAAGTGTCTCGTGTGCTTGCGGCGAGCCTTGCTTGCTTCCACAGATCGCGCTCCATGTCGACTCTGTTGGAGTACCAGTTGGTGACTCTCAGAGTGTTGATGTCGTAGCCAGTGGTTGAGGTTTTGTCCAGAAGGAAGTTACAAAGACCTCTACGACCCAGACTGAGAAGTCTCGATGTCGTAGCACTCTCCGTCACTTCCCATGCGATACTTTTTGTGCTGCGTCTCTGTGAATATCCTTCTTTTCCAACATCTCTGTGATTTAGACCCAGACCTCTGACGGAAGATATTCATCCGCTGGCCATCTGTCCGGCCTTCCGATCTTCTGCACGCATTTAGAAATCCATTATGCAACATTGCCCGAGTGTGCCTATCGCCAACAGGTGTTGAGCCTTTGCTATCTTCCAGAGATACACACGACCCCTGAGAGCCATGATCGCGGTTAGGGACCAGTGCTCTCATGACTGCGTATCTTCTTGTTCAACAGCCCTCTGCAGAACATCGGCCGTCATAAAGCGTGATCTTCAGGGCGATAGCGGTAAACAAGCCAGAGGCGCACGGGAACCTGAGTGCGAGACCACTTGACGCTGTTGGGTAGGATGTTGATTGACTTACCATCTTGCAAGATTGATGCTGAGATGTATGGTATCGTGAGCAGAAGAAATGTCTGGTTTGAGTTTGGAGTAGAAGAGTTGATCGTGATTGTCAAGCATACGACGAGCTCAGTGAAACAATACGTCCTGACGGTAGGTGTGGTTGTCCTGTTTGATGCTAGGCGGAAGTTGCGAGGCAGTGATGTCGTCGCCGTCGGTTCACTAGTGCGGTTACAGATCGGGACTCGTCCGAACAAGCTTGTCATTTTTCACTCCAGCTTTCGTTGCTTACCACATGCACCTCACTACCACAGCATCTCTTCTATCCATCTATCTCCAAAAAACTCCTCAAGCACTCTCTCAATATGGCATCGACGTGCCTCAAACTCAAGACCAAGGCTCTCGGTCTCTTCCACAAGGATCACGATGCTTTCAGCTGTAAGATATCCTCATGCGTCTTGTTGTTCACTCCCACCACCTCTTCCCAGCCGTCAACAACAAAGATCTCAACACCGCCAAAGACAAGAACAAGAGCACCACCAGCATCGAGTTGCAAGATCGCACTTCTCAGTACTCAGCTGTCAAGCGCAGTCCCACTGCTTCCCCAGAGATCTTGCCTCACGGCGGATCGATAGGCAGCATGGACAATTGAGTGCACAGGTCAGTCACCGCTTCCCTTTGCCTTCTGCTTCCCTTCTCCCTTACCTGCAAGGGTTCCGAGTTCCGAGTGTCGACACCAAGGGTGACCACTGTACAAAGAGTCAGCTCCCAAGTGGGCGTTTGTCTGTGAAGAGAGACCTCAGACTGGGGTTGGATAGATCTATCACTCCCAACATTACTTCCTCCATGACTCTAGTAGCTTAATGAATGCTGGAGCTGATCTGTGCCCTTCGCATAATCTTGCGTAAGAACATGCGTGGTCAAATGGACAAGGTCTGCACCGCGTGTTGGGATGAAACGAACCTTGAACTGGGGATCGGAAACGTTGCTGCAGTGGCTGCTGGATTGGCATCTATTGAAACGAGACTACTAAATGTTCATGAGGCTCTGTGGCTTCTGTTCGATGAATGTAATGAGCTTCTGTCAGCTTGAGTATCACCTTTGAGAGGGTACAGCTTGAGATATCATGCATGTGGAGTAAGCGGTATTATCGACTTAGGTCGAAACTTCTTGACTGTCATCGTGTGCCTAATGGCATCAGCATTGCAGTTACAGACATTCCCCCGGACGGCCTATACCAGCTTGTCCCAGACACTGTTATTGTGGTCGGCAGTAGTAGGCGACCCGGAAAAGCGATCGGAAATTGTGGAGGACAGAAGTCTATATATACATGTGATGTATAATCGTTCACAGATCGCTGACGCACAGGAAGACCCTTATCGACACGGCCAGCGCTTGGGTGTTCAGCGATTTATAGCAGATCTTATTGGCGGAGATGTTATGACCTTTCTTGAAGGGGGTTGGGTACCTTCTTCCGGGTTGCTATTGTGATCCGCATCTGAATGACGAGGTGAAAGTGTGTCAGAGTCTTTGCGTGAAAAGACATCAGAAAACTCGTGGTACTCGGGCGGAAGTCTTGTCTTCGGGTCGACGTCCTCCTTTGGAGTCATGAACCGTTTCAAGTGGGACAAGGAAATGGCATGTAGGGCCATGGGATCGTTCTGTGGATCTTCGTTTTTCTCCAATGGAATATCAAGATTGTTCTCAATGCTTCCGTCGAATTCCTCGTCTTATCAACACAGTGACAGCGGAAACATAGTCTTGCCGAGTTCTTTGGCGAGAAGGGAAATACAGAAGACAAATTAAGCAAAAGAGTTAATGAGAAAAGACCTACAAAGACGATAGAATGGATGAGAGGATGTGATTGCATGGCAGTAGAAGTCTGCCGTTCATATAACCTTGAACCACCTCATGCTTTTGACAACGAGAAACCGAGAGACCACCAAACCACCAATCATATCACCAAGCAGGAAAAATGGTGGCCAGCCTCGCGGTGGTTCTTTTGGCGATATTACAAAGACAATCGGTGTCAGGATGACATTGAGCTTTATACGACACCGTGGTTACAAAGCAGACGTGATCAATGTGTGTATCGTAGAAGTCGTCAGTGAGATGGCGAAGCTGTGAGGAGAGAGGGAAGGAGGGGTCGGTGTAACCGAAGCCTGATTATGTAATCTCTCCGGTAGACAGACACTGCTCAATCGCCCTTTCCGTCGCTGCACTTGCTCCAGCTGCATCAAGTTCTATTCGAACAAAGAAGCGCATGAGATCTCTTGTTTCATCAGGAATGTATCACTCTGATGCTCCATCCGTCCCTGGATGTGTCGCTACTCAACCGACCAAACTCAAGCAGCTGTTGGCGCCTCTACCCAGAGCTTGGCGACGACGAAACCTTCTTGAGGCTGATGACCGCGACGATCTTTCGTCTCACCGCCAACATCAATTGATGTGGTGTGCCGTAAGACGAACGTCCAGAGCTTCTCAGAGTACTCTGCTCAAGTCGTCTGCATGCATCTTGAGGTGTCAATTGATTCAAGTGGAAGCCACGACGGTAGGTTACGTGGCCGTCCCCTGCAGAGAGTACAAAGATACCGTACATCTTTCTTGGCCGATCGACACGACTGAATTGCTTCTGCGTCCTGGAGCAGTTGCAGCGACAGTACGCGTCACCGCATCCTGCGCCATAGCGTGGTAAGGTATATAACGACAGCGTGAGCAACAGCATCCAAATCTTGCATCTACGAGGCACGATCATCGTATTTGACGCTTCTACCAATAAAGAACACTTGGTCTGCTGGTACATTACTTCCTCGGAGCTCCAACAAGCAGAAGCCTTCGACGTCATGCCTTTCTACCTGGAGAACAAGATTGACGACGTGTATCGAAGCTCCAGAGCGACTCTAAGATGTGTCGAAGAAGGCCCATCTGAGCTGTCAACAATTAGTCTTGATGTCAGGCATCTTATGGAAACCATCTGGTTGTTAGTAGACGCCACCGAACCGTCTATTGCATTATTCGACATGGCTACCAGAGAGCAAGCGTCGGAAGTCTGGAGTGCCCTCGAGGCCTGTGAGCGTAACCTAATCAACATTCGAAGCATCTGGTCATCCTTTGCTCGATTTGACTGGCAAGAGCAATCGCAGTTCACAACAGAGGCATGTCTGTCGACCGGAGGGTTACGCTACCTACAGTCGAAACTCGTGAGCTATTCTACCACACTCAAGAGCTTATTGGTGGGCTTCAAAGTCTCTTCCACAACGTTGAACTGGCCGCCTAATCTTGATGTGCTCGGGAGTATCCAAACCGAGCTTCTAGCCGAGGGTGTGCAAGTTGATCATCTGCATAACCGGCACGATGAGATAAAAGCTTACATTCGGTCGCTGGCTGTTGGCGAGGTTGTGGAGCCTTTGCACGTCGACCAACCACCTCCCCGAAGGTACTCGTTGCCATCGCCCGCGATTGCAGAAGATCAAGTTTCAATTACAGCCCCGCCGCCACGTCGCCATGTGTCTAGTCTAGCAGAACAATTCTCTTCGCTTTTCGAACCACGAGCGCTTCGTCGACCGTCACTCGTTGAAACATTCATCGATGATACCATGCTGTTACCGATATCTGAACATGTCACAATGACAGAGAGCAAGCTCGGTGAATCAAATTCGAGCAAGTATTCTGGCGCGCCTATTCGAAAAGATTCCCTGGATCCGACTGCAACGTCTCTTGTCTCGCGTTTGTCTTCAGCCATGGCAAACATGGCGTTCTCAGTCAGTCTGCAAAACAAACCACGGAGCTCGCGGCCACCACCTCAGCGATCATCTTCTGCTGTCTTTCGAGGATTGGCGAACGAAGAACGTGCTACTGGTGAATGAAACTACTGCGAATTTCAGCCAAAGGAACGTTCTACCTCGCACCACCAGTATGAAAACAGGATTTGCTTGTCATGAGATATCTCTTGTCCCAAGTCGTGGGGCCGCCATCCTCTCTCTACAGCATCGCCTCGAGAATAACCTGGACATTGTCTGGTGCCGCTTGCTACGCAGACCGCTTTACATTGTTCTCGTGGGACCAGAGTCAGACGCGCAAGAGGTCACGATGGTAGAGTACAACTCATCAAAATCCTGCTCTCGCAACTGACTGGCTTGGGAGAAGTGAAGGAGGTCATGACGTTAAATGCGAGATATAGTTGCATGGGGGAAGCAGGTGCAGAACCAGCGAGATGGAGTCCCTGGACGCATAGGCTTGTGTCTGAGTAAGATGTTCTCAACTAAGAATTCACAGACAACAGTATCTTGTTCACGATGAGTAGCACAGCGAATGGTAGCGAGAGGATGTTTGACAGAAAGAGAAGCAATCCTATGAGAGGCCTCCTGTGTTGGACCCCATTCCCGTACCCGGGTTTGAATATCGATAGAGAAACGAGACGAGAAGTCATACCCTTGCTGTGGCAGAGGCGACGGTGTGCTGTCCAGCTTCCACAAGGCCACCAAGACATCAAAACCGAATCTCTTCCAACCCTCAATCGTAGGTGAAGACTTACTGCGCAGTGGCAGCGGACTTCTCCAATATCTCGTCAAAGGCAAAGTTTGGCCCAAGAATCCAGTCGACCGTTTGCTTGCATGGATGACGAGGTGCAGGGAAGAGACAACAAGGATCGATACTGGTTGTGATTCTGTCGTTACCTTCGAACTACAGAACTAAGATGAACAAAAAGAGCATGGGCGTTGGCCGGGTACACGAAGTACTTGTTCTGATCAGAGTCTTTCTGGCAGATATTAAACCTGCGGCTGTGACAGTCTTTAATGACACTTGCCCCTCAGGATACATCTGCTTTTCGTTGAACATCTTTATATCGTGCTGTTGGAAATTAAAATGCTCCGTGAAGAAGGGAGATTCAGGACAGGTGTGCTTTCGGGCTCTCAGCTTGCGTTGATCCTTCTGGTGTCGAAGTCAATCACTGTGATGAACTGCTCAAGATGTCGTCCAGTAGCTTGAGTTGATGATTATACCATCATCCGTTGGAATTGAGACCGATGAGCAGTCCGGAAAAATGCTTTGTTACTTCACCGTGGACTGCGGATGAGCTTATACTGAGCTCCAGGTATCTGTACATGTATAGGAAATCAACGCACGGTTACGTACGTGCTCAATTCTTCATTCTAATTCCTTGCACCTCCCAATCCAATCTCACTCCTGTCACTTTCTCCAGATTCCAGGCAACCACGTTCTCTTCGTTCATTCTCACCTGACCATGGCAGAACAACGCAGGCCTCACAAACTTATTTCCGGGGTCATCCCAACCACCTTTATCACTGCTCTTATCGAACACTGTGGTTGGGAACCAGTAGTTGATCGTTTGGCCCTCGCCGTTCCTATCCACTAACTGAGGTCCTATCTCAACGAAGTAGCCAAAACTTGGTTTGTCGTCTCCTTTCCGTGACGCCACACCCGGACTCTTTGTCCCTTCGAACTCGGACGGGACGAGTCCCTCAAAGTTCACATCCACGTCCTTGATGCGCAAACGCCAGTATCGTCTTGCGCTTGGGAGGTTAATCGGGACGCGGAAGCGAATCATGTGGTCCTGCAGGAGTGTCGTTTTCCAGTCGGGGTCAAAGGCACTTCCAAGGTGGTCCACAGTGTTGATCTCGATGGTCGTGGGGACTTTTTGGGCACTGCCGCTTTTTTCCTCTTCGTCGATTCTCATTTCGTCGAAAGCAGCTAGTTCCTGGCAAACTCATCTGCCGGTAGATCGCTTCTGAGATTCCTGAAGTCTTCTGGATAGTCGGTGGCTGCGGTTCGGTACATGTAGCTTAGAAGGCATCGATGGAACATGATGAAAATTCCACGTTTTAGCGAGACGAGGTTCAGTCCGAGTGTGCCCTTCAGCATGTACTCACCCGTATCTTTGTCTTTTCTGATGTCGGTGGCGATGGTCTGTACTTCAGACATTCGCTTCTCGTTTGCAGCGGACTGTGCTAGTCCTCGATAGTAGGTGCTGCATGCCTCTTGCACAACTCGTTGTGCTTCCAGAACTGTCTGCCCTCTTATGGCGGTGATTCGCATGGCTGTGTGATATTCTTCAAGCCCGTCGACCTTGGCACCTTTTGTGATCTCCTTTATCTGCGCAGTAGAATTAGTCTAACGGACCTGTCGGAGTCTTACTCAAACATACCTCCATAGCCATCTTATCTGTCTGCAGCTCGAACTCTTTCCAGTCCGCAATCAAGCCTAGGTAGTCCATTTGCATCGTTACTGCCTCAGGTAGAGCGAGAGCTAGAGTCTTGTCAGATAAAGCGACCTAGTCAGTGCCTCCAGGTTACACTTACATTCAGCAACGAGTCCTCCCTTATTCTCATTCACTTGCTTCATGCTTATATGTGACTTCAGTGCTTTCTGTTTCGAGTAACAACCAAATGAAAACAGTAACTTTGGCACTATCTTGGCCAGCACTTCAGCGAGCTTCTTGAAAATGGCCATTAGCTTTTCTCCAGTTGTCACAGCTTGATGGAGCTGTATAATGTCAGATTCAAGTCGTCGCCTGCTCAATCATGGCTCTCGGGTCACCTACGTTTCCGAGGACTCTTGCAATATTTCCAGCAGTTATAGCAGCGCCGGCACCACAGGCTGTTGATTCAGCGTGTTGTCACTTGGGACATGAGAAAGGTAGACCTACTGTATATTGCAACGCCGACTGAAACCACGATTTCTCCAAGCCCTTTAGCACATTCCACAATGAGCTGCCTATTCTAAAGATCGAATTACATCAGGCCAATGGATCAAGGGGCTACTCTCACAAGACTTACCTGGTCTTTGACGTACTTCGTCATGCCTTCTTGCAAAGCTTTCAATGCTGTCTTGCACTCCGTTTCTGTTGACTTTAGATGATTAGTTGATACCCGCGAACAGTGAATGAAGAGTTACCGCTAGTTTGTTCCTCTTCTTCTCCGCGTCACTTATTGCGGCAACAGCGATAATCTCATTCTGTTTGTTATTGATGTATCCCAGTCCCGTCTGGCCGAGCTGCTGCATCAGCTTAGCAGCATTGTTTCTGGACTCTGTATTTCCGGCTTGGATCAAGTCAGCAGTCGTCATAATGTTGTCGACATTTTGAGTGATCCCAATATGGGATTTGACGATGCTGATGTATTGCTCCATGTCAAGAATGGGTACCAAGAATGTACGAATGTCTTCGTTCCCGTCAATGTCAGATCGGGATAGGAGTGGCAGTTGCAGACGGGAGAGCATGGTTTCGGCATGCATATAAAGACTGGCTTGAGCTGAACTGTTACGAGAACAAAGCATGATAAATCTGAAAGCGCTGATGCACCTGCTGGCTTGCTCTCTATATCCTGTTGACGACTGCTGACTTTGGAGTAGGTCATGGCTAGCGATGGTGAAGATGCGATTAAGCAACACGATAAGATACCTGGACACTGTTACTGAAATACTGCTTATGTGGAAAGCGCGCCACGTACTGGTTCCTTCGCATACGATTTTCACTTGGCCTGAGGTCGGCCTTTGTAAGCGGCTCCAGATTGGATGGAGGAACATTTGTGATGGGGCGGCTAGAAACTCCGGAAGATGACACAAGGAAACTTTTACCAACATGCGCGTTTGCCATGGTTACTCTTTCGATGTCAGCATTGTCGCTCTGCTTCTCGGAGAGCGCTTGTCTTGTGTTCCCATCCACTGAAGACTGCTGTTTGGAGAGCCTGCAAGTGCCACTACTCTCATTGATGAGGAGAAAATCCTCATGGCAAGCTTCGAAATGAATGTCAACTTTCAAAGCAGAACCGACGGTGGTGATACAGATTCCGTTAAGGTGACCTGCTTGGAAGACAGAACGAGCAAATATCCTGATACAGTGTAACGACTGCTTCACAGGAAGACGCAATTGGGCGATCCCAGCGTTTATCGGTCCAGAAAAGGTCAGGCGATCTGTATAGAGGTGGAGGTATCTGATAGAATATGGGGGCTGGGCTTCAAGCTTCTGCATCAATATGTGTAGATCAAGAACGTCGCCCCTAACATAAAGCTGCGGCAATCATCAGTAAGATCTATGAGCCTCGAAGTGATCTGGACAACTCACGCTGCTACCCTGCGTGTACTCGCCACATGCATTGTTAAGCTCCTCACGGAGCCAAGATTCTTGCATGTTGAAAATTGATGACTGTGTCAGGCAAGCTGGTACCAAAAAGAAGGCGACCGACGGTACATATGAGAGCAAATCGCCAGCAACAGGAGTGTCTGGGCGGAGGGAGTCAAAGTTATTACAGGGGTTTATGGAATCGTCAGTGCATTATCGCTCCTTCGTGCGTAGAACGTTGGGTCTAGAGTGTTTGCGGCACACTTGCGATCCGCTCGGACAGAGGGACACCACAGATCCCGTGATCTTTCGGGCTGTGATGACACTGGCGCGAGAAGTCGAAGGGGTTTAGAGCCCATAAACTTTACAAATGCGGTGGAGGAAATTGCGGGTCATGGGCAAATGGCGCACCGTAATCTGCGCCATCGCGACGCGAGAGCGAGGGGTCACATTGGCTTGGCGTTGTTCAGCTCGACGTTGAGCTGAGCTAACTCGTTTCGTGTCTTTATCCAGCTCTGATTGTCTTATCATTAGCAGAGCTAGTGCGATGCAACACGCAGCTAGGCCGTGAGCTTTGGCGAGAACACTGTCCGTCGTTACGAGGGCCTTGAGTGGTGTTTGTACATGACTAGCTCGAAGCACCCTCGAGAACTTATATCTAGGGCTCCACGAGATTAGGCATCCAGCAACTTATCCCCGCCAAAGAATTTGACCCGGACGATGGCTTCCGAACATTGCAACTTGGACTTTATCAAAGCTCTCGGAAATCGCTCCCCTGAGGCCATC